AAAAAAGAGAGTTGCTTTGAATGAGCTTTTTGGCAGGGAAGGGTAAGCACTCCATGCTGTTTTCTACTCCAAATTCAGATAAGCAAAGGCATTAGGACTGTCTTGCATATTATATGCAATTAAGACCTGAAGCCATTATAATGTGTCAAAAATAAATAAATTGAAACAAAGATGCACATATATCAACTCATGACTTAATTTTCTTTTCTGATCCCCTGTGTAGTCTCCTGAAAATCCCAGAGCATGAGTTATCAGACATGGAGAATTAGATGGAGGGAACAGCAGGAATACATCTCTGCTCCTTCCCCCTTTATAGAAAGGAAATTAAAAGGCCCATTTCTATCCCTTCTCAGGGCCAGAGTAAAACTCCAGGACCAGGCCATTTAACTGGCCATCAGCAAATGATTGCCAATTCCAAGATGCCTGCCCCCGAATTCCTTATAAAGTTATACATGATACCACAGTGCCATTTTTACTTGTACACTTTCATATATTTCCATCACTAAGTGACGCGGTCCACATTGCTTAGCGATAACGGATCCCTGCAATCCCCACTGCCATCATTAAGTGTGGGTCGTTAAGCAAGCAAGCAAGCATTTATTTAATTTATTTTTCCATCTATTCGCCCATGGAAACTCGAGGCGGCTTACAGAATGTAAAACCATATTTAAAATAAAAACAGTAAAAACTAATAAAAAGAATAAAATAAATTATTAAAGTACAATAGAACAAAATCTGGAAAAATAAATAAATTTAAAAGAAATCGCCCCCAACCCTGACGACAGCAGATCACACGAGCCATTTGATGGGATCCATCCCGCTCTGGGTTCCCCAGGCCCACTGGCAGAACCAGGTCTTCAGTGCCTTCCGGAAGAGTATTAGTGAAGGGGCCATTCTAATCTCCGGGGGAATGATGTTCCAGAGAGAGGGAGCCACCACAGAGAAGGCCCTTCTTCTGGGTCCCACCAGGTGTATCTCCCTCAGGGATGGGACCCGTAGCATTCTCTGCCTTCCTGTTCTAATGGATCAGGTAGATGTGACCGGCAAGAGACGTTCCCTCAGATAATTGTAACTGGCAGGAAGTTGCAATTCCCAGGCATCTTGCAAGCAGGCCGACAGAAGGTAATCGGCTGCTGCCAATAATAATATAGATTTGCGTAAAGCCATGATGTGGAGGAAGACTTTATACTGCTACCCACCCACCTATCCATACAAGAGGGCCAATTTAAACATTCAGCTACTTGAACAAGAGACAACTGGACAACTTGGATAAGAAGCAAAACATCTTCAAAGGAAAATCAGAAAGTTCAGTTGCCTCTTGAAAAAGCACCTTTGGGACAACCACGATTTGGTTGACTGAGAATCTCCATAGACATTCAGCTATTAAAAGTTACTTTGAGTTAAAGGGATAGGGAGAGAACTAGGTACCATCTGTTCTATTTTCATCTCTAGGATTTAACCCAGAAATCAACTCAGGGCAGAGCTGAACCAATGCAAGCAGACATAGTGAGACCTGCTTTTAAACCAAAGAAAGGATAACAGTAATGCGGTTATGGATTTCCCAACTTACAACTCATTTTAACATTAGATTTTATTTTTTATTTCAACTTTAACAGAAGCAAAGTATTGAACAACTACAGAAAAGTGTAGCAGGTGTTTAAATACTAACCCTAGAATTTTCTTAATGCTTAAGAAGCCTTGGATTAGAACATGCTTTTCTAAAATGCTAAGGCATCACAAATGGGAAAGAACATTGGGTCGATTAAGTCTACTATATGGTACAGGGTTGTCAAACTGGCGGCCCGCAGGCCAGATGCGTCACGCGTAGGCCACGCCCACCCCAGCTCCGTTGGGGGAAAAAATATCACGATACATCACGTGACAACAACATAACGCGGTGAGTTTTGACACCCGTGATGTAGTGGGACATTTCTAGAAGACCTGCCATTAAGAAGATGTCTTTTTATATGTTTTGGAGTAGGGGGATCTTCATTTGTTTCTCATTTTGCATTCAGAATATGCTAAAACCTGGGGATACTGAAGAAAATCCTTAATTTTCCAAATTGGGGCAAAGTATGCGATAAAATTTGAAACATTATGTATTTTGTTTGATGATACTAACTTAAGAAATCTCACTATTTTAAATGCCAAAATAATAAGGATAAGACACTGAGTATAGATTCTGATTTTTCCCCTTCTGTCCAGCTTTTCTACTATCAAGAATACAGGTAGTCCTTGACTTACAACAGTTTATTTAGTGACCAAGGTTACACCACTGAAAAAAGTGTTTATGACTGTTTTTCACATAGCATCCCTGTGATCATATATCAAAATTTAGATGTTTGGCAACTGACTCATATTTATGACAATTGCAGTGTCCTGGGATCATGTGATCATCTTTTGCAGTCTTCTGACAAGCAAAGCCAATGGGGAAGCCAGATTCATTTAATAGCCATGTTACTAATTTAACAACTGCAGGGATTCACTTAACAACTCTGGCAAGAAGGGTCATAAAATGATGCAAAATTCACTTAACAAATGTCTCACTTAACAACATAAATCTTGGGCTCAGTTGTGGTCATAAGTTGAGGACCACCTACAGTATCTAGTTTTGGTATAATAAATCAAAAATTAATAATCTAAAGAATGAAAGCAATACACAGAGCAATAGTAATAAAAGAGTACTGAATAGCTCTCTCTCTGCCTGCACACAATTTAACACTGCTAATAAAGTGTATCTTACTTCTCATTTTAAAATCCAATAACTACACTTGATATTGGTCTATTTTCTCCTCCTGTTAGAAAACTGAACTGATGTCAAATCCACATTTTTTTTTTGGGGCATGGAGAACGTTTTTACGGATGAAATATCCAGTTAGAAAGTCCTTAAGTGAGTGCCCTTTTAAAGAGGCTAAATTAATAAGCATTCACTAAAAATGCTCAAAGCAATTTGTCAAGGTTAAGTTTCTTTTGAAATCTTACAGAATTATGCAGCCGTGGTGCCCAAAGAAAGGCTGAAACAAGAAGATAAGAGAACTGGTGGAGAAATGTTAATGTCTTCTCTCGATTTCCCATCATTATTAGAAACACAGAAGATACAAACCAGTCATAGCATACGTATCCGTCCAGCTGATTATCTGTAAGAATAACTAAGGAATTCCAATCTTTTTGTCTTGTCCATTGTAGACAATTGAGAAACATGACAATAGATTGATTAGAAAAAGAAAAGGCAACGTGACAAAATATAGACTGTTGGCAAAAAGAAAAACAAATGGCTTTTTTGGGAGCTTGAACACCCTGGTCTGAATTTTCCAACAGTTTTATCTCACCCTAAAACATATTCTTTGGCCTCCCCCCCACCCATAGATTGGGAGCAGCCAAAATGCTTTCCACCATTCTTTTTTCACTTCCAATTATAGAAACAAAAAACAAGCTTCTTTCAAATTTAAATTGTTTCCCATGGTAAATTTGAAATTGGAAAATTTGGTGTATTTGAAATGCTTTAAGAAATGACATCTTTGGAACCTGAAACACTTTAAGTTTTGTTCTTTCAAAAGAAACACAATGGAATATCAAAGCTGTTTTGTCCCAAACACAAAAGAAAACACTTTTTCGTTGATTCTGCCTCTATAATGATGAACTTGTTTGCAGAACTCAGATCAAATTAGGATCACCTACATCTTATAAGTATGTGGCATCCCATTCTTTCCAATAATGAATCCAAATCTGAAGAACAGGTAGATATCTATATTTTTTACAAAGGAATGAGTGAAAAAAATGTAATTCTCAAAAAGAAATATAATTCCTTCCAACATGAATGTATTTCATAAAAACTAGGTCTGTTTTTCCATAGGGAAAATCTATGTGGTTTCTAAAGGCTGAAAATGACTTGATGGCATATAATCATCTGGTCAATCAAATCAATTAATTATAAACAACTATCTTAAAATTAAAAAACAAAACAAATGAATAATGATTTAGACAATTATACTGACAAAATGGAGGCATGATGGCTCAGCGGTTAAAGATGCTGAGCTTGTCAGCTGGAAAGCCAACAGTCTGGGTTTGAGACACAAGAGTTGCACAATGGGGTGAGTTCCCATTCTTTGCTCCAGCTAATGTCCATCTAGAAGTTTGAAAGCATGCAAATGCGAGTAGATCAATAGGTACCACTTTGATAGGAAGGTAACAGTTTTCCTTCCACCTTTAGCATATAGCCATGCTGGCCACATGACTATGGAAAATGTCTTCGGACAATGAAATGGAGATAAACACTGCAATCTAGAGTAGGTCACAACTGGACAGGGAAACCTTTACCTTTACTGACAAAACACTTGGTGAATTCTATCTTTTAACAGCAAAAGGATACGTAATGATTTCTTTAAAGGTACTTTCTGTTGTTTCAAATATTTCTCACAGTAGATTAGTACTTGATATAGATCATTTTCTGCATTCTCCTTCAACAGATTCAAATGTTTACCATAGCTTTAAAAGAAATAAATTTTTAAGCAGAAACAAAATACTTTTAAATTATTTTTTAAACAGAAGAAGTATATAATATTAATGTTAACATTTGCTGACCACAGCTAAATGTCTTAAGAGAAGAAACAATCTGTATTATGCTTATAGAACAGCCTTGACAAGATCTCTTGGATTTATACTACCAACCCAGAGGTGGTAATCAGCAGGTTCTGACCAGTTCTAGAGAACCAGTAGCGGAAATTTTGAGTAGTTCGGAGAACCGGTAGTAGAAATTTTGAGTAGTTTGGAGTACCACCTCTGACTGGCCTCACCCCCATCTATTCTCTACCTCCTCCCTAGCCCATGATTTCTTCTGGAGGGACCAGCTGTCCCATTAAACAAGTCCATTAGGCTATTTGAAGTGTTTGCCCAAAGAGATTGTAACATGAACTGACATCTAAGTGCCTGATCTTCATTTTTAACCCCTCCTCCCTTCCCATATAATTTTTCTTGTGAGACTTCTAAGAACGCCTAAGCTATTTTGGGAATTATTTTAGATAAAGAATATGGTTAAAAGGCTTTAAATAAAGAGTGACTATAAATAAGTAATCAGGGGTGGGATTCAAAAATCCCAGCAACTGGTTCGCTGCCCGGTTGCTGAGTGGGAGTGGCCATGGTGGGCATAGCCAGTGGTGGGGTTCAAATTTTTTTACTACCAGTTCTGTTGGCGTGGCAGGCAAAGATGTTGTAAAATCTCCAGTCAGAGGTGGTATTTGCCGGTTCTCTGAACTACTCAACTTTTCCGCTACCGGTTCCCTAGAACTGATCAGAACCTGCTGAATACCACCTCTGGGTGCAGCCTCCCAGAACTTCCCATTTCCGGCTTTCGGTGGGCCTCCAGATCCCGGGGAGGCCATTTTCACCCTCCTGAGGGTCCAGAGGCCTCCCCCGGGCCTCTCGGAGTGTGAAAACAGCCTCCCCTGGCCTCTGGAGGTCCACTGGAAGCCGGAAATAGGCCCGTTTTGCTACTTCTGTTTTTTTGCCCTCCCAAGGGTCTAGAGGCTTCCCCTGGGCCTCTGGGAGGGCAAAAACAGCCTCCCCCAACCTCTGGAGGCCCTCCAGAAGCCAGAAACAGGCCCGTTTCTGGACTTCCAGAAGGCCCGTTTTTCCCAGAGCCTCCACGCAGACCTGCACTTACCTCCATCGAAAATGGGCTCCGTGGAGACTCCTGGGAGGGGAGGGGTGGGAGGGGAAGGGCCAGCCAGTCATTTGAAATACCGTTTTGGCAAACCAGCTGTAACTTTAAAATCCAGTTTGCCCGAACCAGTCCGAACCAGCAGAATCCCATCCCTGAAGTAATCCTGCTGCATAACCTTCTAATCTAATCTAATCATAATCTAAAAGACTGGACTCGGAGAACTGCTTTAGCTAAGTTGTTTGAATTTATTTTTCTTAACACAAAAATTATGGTCTCTATGATTATTGCCATATTCATAAATTTAAAAATTAGCTTTGTAGCTTTGGAGAAGGTTCTTACATTTTTGTGCAATTATTTCCTATTGTTCTACCTTACCCCCTGAGAAATAATATGATTTTCATTGTTCATTATTTTCATAACATTTAGTGCACTCTCATAGCTTTTAATAATAGTATTAATGCTTTAAATGCAGAATATTTTTTAATATTGTCATTTCATGATTTTTTTAAATTGTATATCCATAGAGTCATGTTTTGTGACCTGGGCAGCCATATAAATATGATATATAAATAAGTGAATGAACAAATAAATGAAATTGCTGTCATTGCCACATTTCTTTATGACAAGATTAAAGCAACGGGGGAAGCAAAGCTGGACTGAAGATGGCTCTGCAAGAGTGGAACTGATTATGACAGAACATGGAGCTGGACAATGGATCAGCTCCTTAGAAATCCTCTCCAGAGCAAGGAGAGGACAAGGACAAATACTTCATACAGTGCCTTTGCACAATGAAATAATAATAAATGGTCTCCAGTGGGCTTTAAAACTGTGGGTTTCAAGAGAAAGCTATTAATGTCTCTAGGTATCCTGCTTTCTCCTAGAGCACACTGATGTGGCTACTGGGGATAAATAGTTTGTAAATTCCTTCTACACATGTCCAGATTAATTCCAAGAAATCACTATTATAATAGTTGTATCAGCAGATACTTGGGAGAAAACAGAACATTCCTAGACCATTAAGACATCCCATTTCTGGAACAGAAGTTTTCAAAACTTGTCTTGCCGTGCTTGTTCAATTGGCAACTTGTGGTAGCCCTCGTTCGAAGGACTTGGAAGACTGTATTTGGACTAGGATGTGGAGTGTTAGTTGGTTTGGGGACAAGGTATTGGAAGGGATGAGAGACAGGAGGCAGAGGTAGAGGCTGGTTGGTTGAAGGTTGCGTAATAATATTTTTCCATGGTGAGAACAGGGACAATGAGGTGGGTGGCTGTGTCTGTGAGAGAGGGGAGGGGTAGTAAGATTGGCCTGGCATCAAGGTGCTAACAGCTGGTCAGAGGCTTAAAGAAATTTTAGATAAGGAATGTTTTATCAATTTTGGGTCTCAATTTGGTAGAACTACTAAGTATGAACAACCTTGTACTTTGTAAAAAGTTATTATACACACACATTATATTATTAATATAACAATGTACAGTACATGGAATCTCCAAATACACTACATTAGATTATAATATTACAATGTATTAACTCCATCTTGATTGCATTAGTACCCCTACCTAATTTACTTGGCCATTTCCCCATAACAGCAACTTGTGTATATATTGCATTGTAATAACATACGATATAATAAATACAACATAGTACAATACAATGTATATACTGTCTCCCAACTCCATCTTAATTATTGACCCCTAAATAATTTAAGCAACTTTAACAGCAACTTTGTATGGAAAGTTAGGAGAGAATGATTGGCCCAAAGTTAACCCATTGAGCTTCTGTGGCTTAAGGTTGCCTCCCTACTCGAGGCAAACACCTTAACCACTACACCATGTTGGTTCTTTCATTTACTTTTCTTTTTCCTCCTCCTCCTTTTAACTTATGTTTTAATTTAAAAAATAAGGAAAAGGTACATGTTTTATTCTGGTTCCTACTTGCAGGAAAAAAATATTTTGGCTAGGGCTGTGCAAAGCATCCCAAAGGGGAAAATCGTCTTAAGATACATAGCCACAAATCACAAATCCTTCCTTAAAAGTATTCTTGTTCTATTACCTGGAATTCTTGCAGAGCTGCTTCAACAGCTGCCTGAATCTATATATGTATGCACAGTTGCCTTGCAGGCAGACCCCGTAGAAAGGCTTTTCATATCCAGAAACTCAGGTACATTTTCCAAAGGATATATATAGCTACTCTCATGCTCCAGCGAGAGTTCTTTGTTCCATTATGCTTTGCTCGGTGTCCCTACTGAATGCTTTATCAGCCCCAATAATGGTACCAAAGACGGTCAATATTCAATGTTTATTTGCAGATCCTCCCTGGAAAATACTGGACTATTATTTTACGATGTTCAGTGATATAATCACTTATATTAATTAATCAAAACACAACATACTACTAACATTTGATTAAAAAGTTGTTTTAGTCATTCAGCTTGCTTGTCTCAAAGGACTTGGAGGACTGTATTTATTATACCACGTTGAGCGCAATGTTCATTCACGGAACACAATTTGCAGATTTCTTGGAAGTGCAGGGCTCTGCCCAAATGTTATAAATATCTTTAAAATAATGCCTTTTCACATCAACTCATGGAATAATGAGAAAAATGAAGCTTATTATAAATATCCATATGAAATATTCCAGTGAAAATTACCTGATTGTCATTTTAATTCCAACTTGCTGAATTGCTGTAAGGTTTTTAATCTCCATATTTACATCAGCTGAAAACAAAGAGGGGGAAAAACATACAAAGGCTATATAAAAATTATCATAATCATTTTAACTAAAATATAAGTACACTTACCAATGTTCAGCTAAGATATATTTAAAAAGAGGGAAGAAAGCAAGGAAGCAATATATTTTTATATATTATGCATGAAGAGAAATTTAATTTTTATTATCTCAGTAAAATACACATTTAACTACCTTTGGCCTTACTTTTAACAACTGTACTCGGTACAACTTCCAATTTTAAGTTAGATATAAAGGACTATTAAATCACAGTTTACTTCTCCCAGAGTAACTATATAAAACAGTATGAGCAAAGCTACTCGTGGAAGAAATGGATGTGCAAAACAATGTTTTGATTATTATTCCAGTCATGTATTCTGAGCAAATATTTGTATGCTGTATATGCTGTTATTAATTGTGTTGCATTTTGTATGCAGTTTGCATTTTGCAAAGTTTGTAATTTAAATCATCAAAACAATCTGAAGGAGAACTTTCACAATTAAATATATATAATAGGATCTTATGACTGAATCCGTGCTCCAGCATGGGTCATACTTAAATACAATTCTTAATAGCCTCAAAACATGTCCCTTTTAATTGGCCCTGTTAATCTTACTGTTTCTTTATCCTTTTGCAAAACAATAGAAATTAGGCCCTTATACAAGGAAGAAGCCCTCCTACAACCAATCAAAACTTTATTATGGTCAGAACACCAGCATAACCTCCTACAACTGTTTTGCAGTTATGATGCATAGAAAACATACTTTGTTTATTTGTGCTATGTTACTTGATTTTAAAAAAATTGATGTGAGATTAGTTTCATTAGAAGTCTCAAATTACTGTAGGTTTCAAGATTCATAAAGAAGACCATTTTTCTTGAACAAAGGTTGGAGTACCTGTGAATTATCAGAATAAAAAGTGAAACAATAAAGCAGAATAAATAGTGTGCCCTACAGTAGCAGCTCCCAAGCTGTCTAATTCAAGAAAAGGATTTAAAGAGGAAGTCAATGAACCTAGTTTAAGATGAAATAAAATAATGCAAAACTGATATTAGTCAATTTTAAAAGAAAAAAAGTGATTTTTTTTGTTCTATAAAGTGATAACTGCCAGGATTTCAGATATATTCTTAAGAACTCATGCACAAACCTTTTAATAATCATTGTGCCTTTACAAACAACCCCTAATCCTCCTTAATTCTGAAATCCTGAGCAAGGTAAGAAGGCATTCTGCCTGACTGACATGCATTGTAACATTTAGCTTCATTTTCTTTTTACAGTCAGAATTGACTTCTGCCTTTATGCTATATAAATAGTAATCTGATAAATAGTCAGAAGTGTATACCAGGTGATGTTGATACCAATACATTATTATTAATTCCTTGACTTGATTTACCCAAAGACATTTCTTTGGATATAGCAGGTCTCCAAACTTGGCAACTTTTAAGACTTGTGGACTTAAAGCTGCCAAGTCTGGGGACTCCTGGGATATAGGAAGGATCTTCTTCTGAGTAAGGGAGCAGGGAAGGCTACTTGTCCTACACGAAAGCAGTTTATTACATTTGATGAAATACTTTTGAACTAGACCTTGGCAGAATGGAGCCGAATGTCTTGAAACTATGTTATTTATTAAACCACTCTTCAACCTTGAATATCACAGCAATATCTAAGAAACAAATCCAAAGTTCACTGGAATACAGTCCAATAAAATGAAACCATGAAATATTTTTTTCTATTTTCTGCCTCAGGCAGAGACTGGTGTACCTTCAAAAAGGGAAGAATGAAATATCCTTTCAAAACCTAGGAAACTTCAAAGCTCTGTTGAAGAACAATTTCTCTCAGGCTCCAATTGGCTTCTTTGAAACGGAGGACAAATGACTTATTCCTTACAATCAATCATATGATTACCATGGAGAATTTACCAACAAGAATATTCCTCATATTCTTTTGCAAGCTTGATAGTAGTAAGCAAAAAATATAATTGAATTATCTCTTCTTCACATGATTTAAAGGAAGCCAACCTTCTCTCATTTTTGTCTGCTCTGTCCATTTCCTACTAAAGGGTATTTATGCTGGAATACCAGGAACTTCTCTCAATGGTAAGGAAGTTCTACATCAGGGGTATCCTACCATGGCACCTTAAGACTTGTGGACTTCAACTCCCAGAATTCCACAGCCAGCCATGCTGCATTCTGGAAGTTGAAGTCCACAAATTTTAAGTTCCAAAGGTTGGACACCCCTGCTCTACATTTTGATGTAAAAGAAGGAAGTTTTCATATGCTAAGAAAGTCCATTTCACAGTGTTGGATACCTAGTGCAACTATGATTTTCCTGACAAAGTTCAGCTAGAGATGGGTAGAGTGAAATTTAATACACTTTTTATAGCAAAACACCCAAATTGGAATTTCCCTGACTATCATAAGCTATAAAGACATTTAAGTCTGTAGGTTGTACACATTTCCAAAGTCTGTAACTTACAGAGCAGAGAGAATGGCCTTGAAGGACAGAAGGAAGAGTTGTACTATGGCAAGAGTCAGATAAGTGGAACTTGAGCCTAGACCAAGTAAATAATTTGAGAAAACAACTCAGACAAGCTCTCCCCTAGTTCAAATTAAGATAAAGTGTGGGAGTGGGGAAGCACATTCACTTGCAAGATGTTGTTACTATAGCTATTACAATAAATTTAATCCTGATCTATATGGTACCAATTTCTTACTCTGATCTACCTTGTAGGACTGACAGTAGTGCAGAAGGAACTTCACAATAGAATTCAACAGAGCTACTGCTCTGGGATAGAAGCTGTTTTTCAGCTTGTTTGTCCTTGTTTTTATTATTCTGTACCGTCTGCCAGATGGTAATAGTTCAAAAAAGGGGTGCCCAGGATGAGATGGATCTTTGAGAATGTTTTGAACTTTCTTAAGGCAGTGGGAGCTATAAAGCTCTTCCAAAGAGTGAAGAGAGCAACCAATGATCTTCTGGGCAATGATGTTAACCCTTGGAGTGCTTTCCTATCTACCACTGTGCAATTGGCAAACCATACAGAGGTGTAGTAAGTTAAGATACACTCTATGGTGCAGCGGTAGAAGGTCACCAGCAGTTTTTCATTCAGTTGTTGTTTTCTGAGAAGTCTCAGGTAGTATAATCTCTGCTGGGCCCTTTTGACCAGTGCTGCAATGTGAGCGCCCCAGGTCAGTTCTTCTTTTATGGTAATACCCAGAAACTTAAAACTGGCCACTTGCTCCACTTGGTCTCCATTGATAAGCAAGGGCTGGATGTCTGATCTGTTCTTTCTATAGTCCACTATAAGCTCCTTGGTCTTATTGGTGTTGAGGACCAAGTTATTGTCTCCACATCACAAAAACAACCGATCCACCTCATCTCAGTAGGCAGACTCATCCCCCCTCTGGAGATGAATCCCACCACTGTTGTATCACCTGCAAAATTGGTAATAGTATTACTAGCGTGAGTGGGAATGCAGTCATGCACATAAATAGTATATAGAGTAAGGGACTCAACACGCAACCCTGTGGTGTACCAGTGTTAAGAATAAGGGCTGAAGAGGTATGATTACTAATCTGACCCTTTGTGAGCGGCCAGACAGGAAATCCATAATCCAAAGGCAGATTGAATAAGAAAGTCCAAGATCCAGAAGTTTAGACACTAGTCTATGTGGAAGAATTCTGTTAAATGCAGAACTAAAATCTACAAAAAAGCATCCTCAGATAACTCCCCCCCTCCCCCCGTTGTTCTAGATGAGTCAGAGCAGCATGAATGGCTATAGCATCCTCTGTAGATCTATTTCTTCTGTATGCAAACTGGTGTTTATCAAATGTATGTGGAAGACCAGAAATGATGTGCTGGCAGACCAATTTCTCAAAGCACTTCATGATGATAGGAGTGAGTGCCACTGGTCTGTATTCGTTGAGATTATTGATAGGGAACTTCTTTGGCAGAGGAACAATGGTGGAAGTCTTCAAACAAGATAGAATAGTGGACTGGGATAAAGACCGATTGAAGATCCTGGTAAAGACTCTAGCCAACTGATCAGCAGAGTCTTTAAGCACTCAGCAAGATATAGTTTATACAGTTTCCATAGCTCATATCTTGGAGGAAATGATGTCATATTTTTATACATAGTTTTACAAATACATTCTTAAAATCCGATGAGCAAACTGTACAAAATGGATTGTGTCAAATCAACACAGATCAACAAACTCAGTTTTCCAGTACTTGTTTGAGTTCATAGTGCAAGAACTTTTACAATCTTTTAAATCCCTATCCATGACTACAAGAGTAAGAAATGTAGAAAGATTCACCATAGTATATTCAGATTTCAACCCCAATCAACAAGGACCTCATGATAGATCACATAATGTGAAATAATTAAAATTAAACATAATTTTTAAAATCACATATGATCGGTATAAAAGATTTGCTGTAGAATCATATCTGAAGAATTAAAAATTACAAACTCTAACATTTTTTTGATGATATTTACAGATGAACACTATTTTGGGCAAAGCTGAAGGCATTTCACAACTTTAAAAAATTACTGTAGGTTATGCTTGATGGTTTAGATGTTATCACTACCTTAAAATGGAAAATAATATGTATGATTTACTCTAGATATAAATAAGGCATATTCAGCTTGAATACTAACATAGCATTAAGTTAGCCAGCATATAAAAACCTCTCTTCACAGTGATATAAATAAGTCTTTGGCAAGACTGTTTCAAGGACGGGGGTGGGTGGGGGGAATTAACACCAAAAGTGCAGATCTTTTCTTTAGAGAATGTAGTTAATCCCAACCAATCAAGTCATAACCATACAAATGAAAATACTTGTAGAAGTCAACAAAAGGAAAAAAAATACTCTGAAAAACTAATTTCCAAAGGGCAAAAAGCATTATATTTTATAAGTATGTGATTATTGCTGAGTCTTGTGATAAAATGAAATGATAAACAAGGAGTTTGTCTGCTTAAAAGCAACAGCAGTTTCATTGCTGTTTCATTCACTGACTTGTGCCTCAGTTTTCTCAGGAAAAAAAGAGGCCATTACTTTAATGGTTCCCCAAAGCCTTGGTCTAGGAAGGAGGTGGCCATGTATACCTTTCTTCCACAAGACTGGGGCACTTTAAAAATTCTTTCACCAATCACCACCAGTTGCAGAGTTGCATTCTATATTAGCTGAAATTTGAGTGATATAATACAATACTTCAATTTTGAGGTAATAAAACCATGAATAACTTTTGCCAGGGATATCTCGCAGCACTAAAACATTCCCAGCCTCCTCATATGCCAACCAAGGAGCACCATTAATAAATGATAGGCAAACAAGATATTCAGATATTCATTGTTTGGAAGATTGATTTCCTAATTTCTTATTTTGTTGATGCTCATTCAGTCACTTCTAACTTTTTGTGACTTCATACGCATACTCTAACCAGAGCGGTTTTTAACTGATTCTTCACATTCTTACGAGCTCATACTTATATCATACAAATCTTCTACCTAAATGTAGCTTTGCTTGAAAAGAACACAATTTAATTTCAGTGCTCTCTATCCAATGATGTCAATATGTTGAATTCTCTTTTATCTTTTGTTAGATATCTGCTACTCAATTTCCATGCCAAACTCTATTTCCTGCATTGTTCTGTATACTGAGACCAAATGTTCCTGTTATTCCAGTTGCTATTTTCCTTTCAGAGTTAACAGTATTATAATTAGAAGGACATCTTTGTGTGTTACTACAAGTTGCCATAGAGCTGTTCAACTTCTGTTTCCTCTGTTTCAATGGTTAGAATGCAATTAATTGCCTTGAACTCAAACTAGATTCATTCTGGGGGCTGAATCTGAGCGCTTTTTTGTTAATAAAGATGGCTATCCCACTTCTTCTGTGATTTTTGTGATATGATAGATATGATTCTACAGCAAGTCCTTTATACTGATCATATGTGATTTTAAAATTTATGTTACATTTTAAGTATTTTAGCTTATGTGATCTATCATGAGGTCCTAGTTTATTGGTATTGAAATCTGAATATACTATGGTGAATCTTTCTACATTTCTTACTCTTGTAGTCATAGATAGGGATTTAAAAGATTTGTGTATGATGAACTCAAATAAGTACTGGACAACTAAGTTTGTTTATTTGATTTCACATGATCCATTTGGTACAGTTTGCTCATCAGATTGTAAGAATGTATTTGCAAAACTATATATAAAAATATAGTGTCATTTTCTTCAAGATATGAGCTGTGTACATCATATTTGAACACCCTCCTGCAGTACTGTCAGCCCTACAAGATATATCAGAGTAAGAAACTAATGCAAGAGAACACTGCTATATTGCCTATTTCAATCCATTTCAGTCTTGATACTTTTGCTGTGATGGTAACAAGTTCACCTTGGTTTACAGTTCTGACATTCCATGAATCAATGCTCTTACCTCTGCAACCTCAAACTTTTCTCTCTCTCTCTCTCTTGGAATGTCAAGAGCTGGACATTCTTTTGGATTTAATCCAGCCATATCATAAACACTAGTGCTGCTCATATATACAGGCTCTTCTTCAATTGCTTGTTGGAGACCTTTCAACCTTGGGGGAAGTCATGTTGGCCTTGACTTAATTTAGAGTGCCCACTTGGCCCTTTTATCGAATAGCAGAATGTGTTGCCATTTCCCTCTTAGCTTTTCTATAATATATTCATCATAGGTTTCTTCAGGGAATGTATACGGTCAACACTATAGCTCATGGTGTCACTGCAGCGCACAAGCCTTTTCACCATTGCAACGTAATGATCCGTGAAGAAAACTACTTATTAAATATCCTTTGATAAGGAATGAGAAAACGTGCCATCTCAAATAAATTGGTTAATTAAGTGTGAAACTGGTGTTCAAACCATATATTTAAAATAGAAATAGAGACTATAACATTTAACGTTATCTCACAGTTATAAAAGTAAAAATAATTCCACAATACAGAATATTAGTACATATGCACAAATAACAATAAGTAATAATAAAAATACAGTAGAGATCTCAGTATTAAGTAATAAAATAGAGGGCATTATTATGTAACAAATTATTTTACACGTTTATCAATACTATATCCAATTTTAGAAGTAAAATTTAAGCAACATTATTTTTATAAACATTAACATTTTAGGAAACATAGTTAATATTGATATAACTTTTTTAATTTTTTTCTTTATTGTTAAAGGCTTAAGTTATCTAATTCAACCTAGTTTCAATACAATTTCTTGCTTAATCATGGCAATTGGGTCTGGAATATCCATCACTGAGCGATGTGGCATCTCTTAGCAATAGTAATCACTTACCAGTGCTAAGCAGGAATTGAGTGTTCTTAATTGAGGACATCCTGTGACTGGAACTTGCAGCTTTCTGCAGCTTTCAACAAGCAAAGTCAATGGAGAAGGTGGTAGAAAAATCGTAAGTCCTGGAGGGCTTGCAAGCAAGCTAGTGGGCAGGTGAATACTATGAAGTCCAGATGGGTGGGTGGGGCACTGCAGCACCATATGAATATGGGCAGGTAGAGTCCAGTGGCACCAGTATAAGTGAACAGAGGATGAGATGCTACAGCACTACTTGAGTAGTAGCAAGTAGCGAAGGGGTGCTGTGGCACTACACAAGGAGAAAGGTGCGTGCTATAGAATATATGTGAGGTGTTGCAACCAAGTATATACTACTGAGTGCAAGATCCCGGAGTTCTCCAGAGCAGGAAGAGAAGAAGCAGTGCGAGTAACTTACAGGACCAACTTGCAACCTTCCCCATTGACTTTGCTTTTGGAAGCTGGCAAGGAAGACTGTAAATGGTGATCCAGTTGACTATGGGGACATTGCAAGTATTCTAAGTTGACAACCACTCAAATCACAATCATATGAAGGTGGGGCTGCTGTTAGAAGTGCTGTTAGAAGTTAGAACTGCTGTTAGAAGTTAGAAGTGCCATTTATTCAGCACCATTGCAACTTAGAACCATCAGTGAATGAATGGTTCTTAACCAAGGGGTACCTCTAATCTTTAGTCAGTACTACATAAAAACCACTGTACTCAATAATGTATTAATAATAATACAATCTCTTTGTGTATGTGATGTTTGTGTGTTGATGTGTTTGTGTGTATGTATGTATGTATGTATGCATCTCTGTGTGTGCATGTGTGTGTGTGTCTATAAAAATCAGCCAATGAGGAAGGTATGCTCCAGTTTACTTCTTCCTGCCACTCTAGTAAGACATGTAAACCTAATAAGCATTTTTGAAGTAACAGAGTTCCACACCTGGGTTCCCACCCACCCCAAATATTTTAATTTAAAACTGGCAGATATAAATTAGCTTCACTAATTTCCCCATATACTAAGGTAGAAGCCAGATGGATACCACTGAGGGAATAGAAATAGAAAAAGGCAAAATTTCCTCCCATATATACATAATGCAACTTTCATTATTTGAAGCTAGGAGACATGCTCAAAATCATACGCAGCTCAATATTTTATTTGGGCAGAATATAAAGGTAAGTCATCCAAGTCATTTATACACTTTCCCATGGTAACAAGCTGTATTCTCACTCAGTTGGATACAAGAGTACTCCTCCAGATCAATACTGGCAGGCAATCCTGAGTTAACTCTTTTTTATTACCATTAAAAACTACATTTATATAAATGTCAATATATGAGCTTCCTTCACATTTAAAACTCTCACCAAAATTAATGTGATTTGCACATTTTAATGGATTCAAATCCCGAGAGATTTCAGAACAGCTGGATGAACAGTGTTATTTTAATTTTAATCACCCAAGGGTTTAGAAAGCCACTGTAATTTAGGGTAATCAATTTCTCATTTCCAGAAACATGATAACATAGAATATCAATGCATTGTCCTGAAACCCACTTCCATATCAGATTGATTCTATTCCCCAGAATGCTAAACTCAAGTCTTCTCATGCTCCTTGCATTTTGATACTTAGCCAAGGTGTTTTATGTGCTTGGATTTGAGAGATGGCTGTACTAGGCAATCTGCTGACATTGCAAATCTCAAATCTATCAGATTTCTTTAAAAATAGTAAGTCATTCTAAGATTTTTTTTACATTCTGTTATTCTATCTGGGTTTCTTGTATCTGCTATTTCTTGTATCTGCAATAAACAATTCAGTATTTCTATACTTTAATAGGGAAGAGTAGACAGACATATTGCAAGTATCTAATTAATAACTGTTTAATAAATTTAGTTGAAATGTATTGTTTTATGGTAATCTAGAAATTGAACTTTTGGCTCAGGTGATATTACTCATATAAAATTAACATTCAAAACAATAATCATTCTGTTAATATATATTTATACATTATGTTTGTATGCTATATTTTTGGTTTGGGGGCCAAGAATTAAAAGCAGCCAAAGCAATATAGGCACTAAATAAATCAATCACATCAACCTAAGCCAGAAATGCTCTCTCCACAGCTCCATTTAGCTTCAAGAGAGAAGCTTGAACAGGAAAATGTCTTTCTTTTAGTTCACTAATGCAGGCAAAATAATAATATTGGAAAATTACCTTCATATACCTTGCTGCTGAAATAATGTTCTGATGGTATTTCAAAGAGGTGCAACACGGTTTTTTCAATTAATTCTGCCAAATCTGCAGTAAGACAAAATGATTAAAGCAAGAGTACCATAAAATAAAAAACAGAACCAAAGCAACAACTAAATTAAAGCATATAGGTAAATAAAGCAATTTGAACTGCATGTTTATTCATACTTGCAGAGCAAAAACCATTCAAAACTTACATCTAGTTTTGTATTCATAATATTCCCAATTTAAATTAAAATTTTAATGGCTTCACTGACAATCTATTCAGTGTAAACTGAAAGCGAAACATTTGTTATGCTTAGATTCTCCAAGGATTGCTTCAGACAGTTTTAGCATAAGGAAAATTAGCTGTAATTACATTCACTGTCTGTTTGTCTACTGAGGACAAAAGTTTAGCTTTCATTTTGATATAAAGGTCAGCATATTTCAGAGTTTGTGATAAACAGCTCTAGGTCAGCCATCCACATCTTTTTTCATAAAAAGTAACTTTCCAGACAGAGTTCTTTGAATTGAGCAAGATTACCTCAAAGGCGATAAATTCCATATGAATTTTTGCCTGAAGTAATGTCTCTATGCTAAACGTTATAGGGCAAAAAAAAAAAAAAGAGTATCTGCAATGATATTTTCTTTCAGTATAAGCAAGATCCTTTGATTGTCCCATTAATATGGCTTTATTATGAATGGTAGTAACAAAAGTTTGACAATTAGACTGATCACTGCTTATTCTCATATATAATCACCAAATCTAATAGACAACCAGGAATAGATATTCATAAAATGTACTAAAATATTCTATGTTTTCATTTTAAAAAAAATGTGAATATGGATACTGATAATATGGCAAGCCAACTTCATTTTTAAAGAAATATATGCTCTTTATTTATAAAAAGATGTGTGATGCGTTTAATGAATCACCAATCTTTATATATTCTACTGTAAATTGAATGTGATATATAGATGTAGATCAGGAGTGTCAAACACGTGGCGTTATGGTGGTGTCAGCTGACGTATTGAGACTTTTTCCCCTTCGCTAAACCAGACGTGTGGGTGGCCAGCCTGTGATGCATCTGGGCTGTCGGCCGCAAGTTTGACAGCCCTGATGTAGATGCTCCAAAACATTTGAACAAGGCACTTCGTAATAGGCAGAAATGCTAAGGCCTTTTCTTCAAATCATTAAGGCAGCCATATCTTTTACAAGGTATTTTGAAAACAACAAAACTGCTTTAATCATTCAAATATAAACACTTGTTTATGTGTTTGAGTTATAAGGCAACTCATCTGATGAGTCTCATTAAAGCCAGGATCTGCCCTAAAGAATGCTTAAACAGGGAAAAACATTACATTTCACTTAGGTGACCAAGTTAAATGTAACCTCAAGAATGTCCTAGATTTTTCTTCTGGTTCTCACATAATCTCATAAAAATAATGGCCAAGAATCTGCAGTTTACAATGGATATCCAGATCAATTCAAACTTTTATTAGGATCTATTGTCAGAAAGTACAGCAATAAAATACAAAGATCTGTAATGATTAATAAAACTTTAATTACATAAAATATTATTGGAGTAAATGTATTACAAATTGCAGTTTACAATGGGTATCCATATGTTAAAAGACATAGATACTCAGAACATGCCCTGAAATGGAAGTCATGATTGTAGCCCATCCAGTTTTTGTACTTGAAAAGAAGGAACCAAATAAGCATTTTCTGCAAATGCAGCAAAACAGGGTTTGGGAGATAGGAACATATCCAATCTATCAAAAGATGGAAAGTAATCAAAATGTCCAAGTTCTGCAGTAGATCATGCTTCCAGTGTTTTTCAAAAAAGAACTTCAGGCTGAGGAAATTAGCTTTAGAGATTGTATTCGGTATGAGGTTACAAGGCAAACTTCCAGCAGCTCTTTTTACCGCTTACTGATGGTTCAATATTGAAATATAACAATTTCTAGCTTTTGCTAATCTATTATTTCTATTTCTATATTTATTCTCACTGAATAATAGGAAAGCCAATCTAAGAATCAGATGGAGAAATAAATCAAATTAGTCTCACCTGATGTTCTAATGAAATGTTCTGTGACAACTTTATTGGGATATCGTATTTGAATGCTGTTTGTCGGTGTTATTCATATTTCTCAATAATAATCTGGGCGTTCACTTTTTTGGGGGGGTTATTGCTTCACATAACTGAGGACACATTCATGTTAAATTTATATTTAACAAAAAAATAAAGAGAGATTAGTATAGATCTATTTTCAGCTATTTAGCTCTCATCAGCTAGCCTCCTGGGATTTGAACCCAGACTCCTTGCATATTAGTTATATTAACCTCTAAGTCATGGGCTTTCCTGGTTTTGTCAGTTATACCAGGGAAGAGATTAAGTGTTTTTTATCAGGGCAATCTGGTCTATCCAGATATGGGATGGAGCATATGGCCCTTGTCCTAAGTTATGCCTACATTTCCAAGAGATGGATAAGTTACAGGATGGTTAGTACAATCCTGAAATTCAACAGAATTTCTGCTTAAAAGTGTCAAAAATGGGAAACCAGTTTGTATTAATTTTTTAAAAAGTATTCTTTAAATAATAATCATGTAAGTGGTTCCAGGAATGAATCATCAATCAATTTCTCACACCCCAAAGTGAACTCCCAGATATATTATTGAGAAATATGAATAACATTGACAAACAGCATTTGAATACAATAACTCAATAAAGTTGTCACAGAACATTTCATTTTAGAAGCTAAACAATTTTCCTTAAGTGCACAATGTTGCTATATGTAATATAATTTTCCTTCGTGCAATTTGGTCTCATGGGGGTTTGCAATTTTTTTTAAAAAAAATGGAAAGAAGGCCTACATGAAGGAGTTCCTGAAAAAGAAAATGCTTGCCTTGTCCAACATATCCTTATCAAAGCTGGAACACACAATGCCTAAACAGACGATACTTCTGGTTTGGGTAGGCACATCTGCTTCAGGAATGAGAACTTCGTTGCCACAACAGGGCTTTTTTTCCCTTTCTCGCGAGGCAAATCTAAGTTACCCTGCACTGGTCCAATATCTATACAAAAGTGTAATCATTTGGAAAATGCTAGTCCTTTTTTAAGCATTGAATGTATGTACAGAATAAAAAGTTACCCAGAAATACTTAGTGGATTCAAACTTTCTTTAAAGATGAAAATGCACACAACTTTTTTTTTCAGAATTATAACTTCCTTTCCAATGTTGCTTAAAGACTGGAGGGCTTTGTGGCAGTGGTGAAATTCAACCACCTCCCTACCCCTCAGGAGAGGTGGTAGAGACTATTTGAATCAATCGGCCCCACCCATGCCTGCCTGCCTTCTTCCTTTTAGAGACTGAGTCCAACCCCCCCAAGCCCGCCCACCTTCTTTCTTTTAGAGACTGAGTCCCACCAAGCCACGCCCACCAAGCCATGCCTACAGAGCTGGTAGGGAAAATTTTTGAATTTCACCCTTGCTTTGCGGGGATCTCAATCTGAAGACCATGAGGATGAACACCCACATAATCCCTGTCAATTACCTCATAATTCAAATCTGACTCTTTCCAAGATTCTCTTGGCCTTCCTAAAGGTTCTCAAAACCTAGCTCTGCCAATTGGCTTAGGGCCCCTAAAGAAAGTCCCACTTTCACCCCACTGTGCATCGGTTCTTAATTAACCAATTTTTGTTAATTTTTAATGTTTTAACATTTTAATGTTTTATATTCTTGTTTTTAGGATGTTGTAAGCCACCCAAAGCCACTTGACAGTGAAGTGGCGGCATATAAATTTAATAAACAAATAAAATAAATCCTATAGCCGTTTCAGAGGGTAGATGCTGGATCTTAGAGAAAGGTGCAACTGTTTTAAGAAATTCCTTAGAAATACTATGTGCGTGCCCATTGCTGGCTCTTAATCACATTTTGCCCTTCAAATTTGGATTTCTGCACGGTCCTCACATGCATTTATTTCTCAACTAGTATTTCTTTGTCATTTCTTTTAGTTGCTGCTGCGAGCAAAGAAATATATCAGCCTTCACATTTTGATGTAAACATGAGTAAATATTCTTAAACTGTTTTTGTTTGTCATCCCAGAAAAGTCTTTTGGATAACTGATATCACCTATTTTAAACCCAATTGAGTTGATTTCCTTTCAGTTAATTAATTTTAAAAACCAAGAGTTGCGATTTTCATTTTTTTAAAAAATTAAGTAAATGTTTTCCCTGAAAAGGCTTACATGTTTTTATATTCGTCAGGCTACACTTGATTGACATTATTCAAGGCAAAGTGTAGGCTGGTGCTATACTATGAACACACAAATTAGCGGTGCACACTGTGCTCTAACATATTTTGAAAGCTTGCCTAAATACACTTTTAGAACTGCTAGACAAACAAGAGGATTAAAAATAGAAATGTGCTATAATGCAAGCCTTACATTAAGGATATTTTTCTTATACAATCAGAACTTGCACATGGAAGGGATATCATTCAACAGGCTAATGGGTGCGAGGAAAAGACAGGAAAACACAGCAGAGTGTGAGAGAAGGAAGAGGAAGAAAAGGAAACAGCAGCTGGGAGTGAAAGAAGGCAGTAGTAGGCTGAAGATCAGGTGTGAAGTCCAGCCTATGGCAAAACTGAGAGGTAATAGATATGTCAGAGATAGGGAGTGTGTATGTGCAAAGTTGCCTTGGAGGGCCTTTCAAGTCCCAAGTTTTGCACTTTGGTTCTATCAATTCTCCCCCTGTAGGTTTAAAAGCTTGTATGCTTATCATTTTGGTGTAGTGGTTAAGATACTGGCTTAGAAACCAGGAGACTGTGAATTCTAGTCCCATCTTAGCATGAAAGCTAGCTGGGTGACTTTGGCCCAATAATTCTCTTTCAGCGCAATTCACCTCACAGGATTGTCGCTGTGGGAAAAATAGGAGGAAGGGAACTTACATATGTTCACCACTACTGGCGAGCTATTTATAAATAAAGGCAGGATAAAAATATGATAAAATAAATAAAGGCAAGGCAACCAAACTCCTGGCTACACTGGAAGCAATGCAAGCACCAGAATCAAATTAGTAGGGACAGTGCATTTCCTCCTCTTTTTTTGATACTACTACTCTGGATATGTCTCACTAAACTCTTTTCATTTTTCTCTGCAACCAAGTTTTAAAAGTGAAAGTAAATCCAGCTGGGCTTCTTGCTTCCTCCCCTCAAAATTCACATTCACACAAAGTGAATCCTTATGCACCCTACCTTTGACCTTGGAACCAACCATACTTCTACATCCTTCCCAACGTAACACTAACCTCCAAAATAAATTTCCATCAGATAAATAACATTTGGATATCAAGACTTCCTCTTTAAAATCCTACAGATATATCATGCTGTGTTGTGAGAGCTATTAATATAAGTAAACAAAGAAAAGTTAGTGGTTTTGGATAAAAATATGGAATTATGGACTACAAAATGTATTTCTGACTTCTTTTTCAGCCTCCTTTCTCTTGATATTTAGGAGATTCATAAAGGTGCATCTAAAGGGGTGGGTTTTTTTTATTAATCTATTTCAGTATTAGTAGTGACATTGCTTTTAATGTTTGTTTTTACATTTTCTTTTTTAATTTTTAAATCCTGTCAGTCTCCTTGAACTTTTACCTGAAAAGAGTATTTGTATATAAATAAACAAAGAAATAGACTTACTGGCTCCACTTATGACATCTGGTTTCTTTTGCATGATTTCACAAAACTGCCTTTGAACATTTTCAAGCCATCCTGTCTGTTTATTTGGGTTTTTTAATACAGATAAAAGTTTGCTAACATCGTCATCTGAAACAAAGATGAAAATACCATTGCAATTCTGAAAGTGGTAAAAAGGTCTCTTGCTAGGACTATTCTGTTGTCCTAAAATTTGAAGAAAAGGGTTTCTAGACCATTTAAACAATTATTTTAACTGTGCAATCAGGTCTAACTTGAAACTGGGAAAGTACAGCTATAATTATCAAAGTTTTTTTTAACCAAGTATCTCCAATAAACTGAGAACAGCAGATAAGTTTCAAAAAGGGAAAGAAGGATATATAATAAAGGCAGAATTTCCAAATAACCCAAATTTGCAAGGAAAGAATTAGGAAACTTAAGGCTTAGTATGATTTAAAGCTTGGGTGTCCAACTTTTTGGCTTGCCTGGGCCACAATGAGTGAAGATAAATTGTCTTACACCGATATAAAATATATCATATAGTTAAAGTACATAAATAACAAACTAGTATTTTTTTTAATCTTTTTTTAACTATCTTGTGGGGCTGCATTAATAATTGTCTAGGACCATAGGTTGGATACATCTGATTTAAAATTTGCTAAGAATGCCAAAAATAACAGAAAAGGATCCTTTGGACATGTGCACAAAAAGAGGAAAGTTCAAGTAAGAATTAGTCCACTGTTTGGAGAAGATGGCAAGATGGTGACAGGCAACAGGGAGAAGGCTGAACTGCCTACTCCCCATCTTGCATCTGGTAATGATAGCACCATTGCAATGGTGATGTTATCACCAGAAGTCAAGTTCAATGCTGGTATGACTGATAGAATATCTCCTATCAAAGGCATCAAAGTCAGTGTGTTTAATTCGGAAATGAAAAACAGTCAAACTCTTTTAACATGAAATTCAAGAAAGTGGTCCAATTCTAGCAACTGGAATTAGATTGATTTTTCACCTACACGTAGATGAAAAAGGAGTTATAGTCTGTACAAATTGATATAATATTTAGTCACTGTGAAATCACTAAGTCATCAAAGAATGAAATATTTCCTCATGGAAATGAGCATTGATTCTATGACTAATATATGCTAAATTTATTCAGGGGATCATAATTGGGGTTTTGGGATTTTAGAGTTAACCATTTGTCCCCTGTAATTATTCAGAGAGATATGCTAGCTTTTCTAGGTAATATTACAGTATTCACAATTAGGATTATTCTGATAGTTGCAATATGGTGTGTCCTTATCTGTCAAGCTTTACACAGGGACAGGAATATATGGCTGTTCTCCAGAAACTCAGCCTGCATTCATAATAGCAGAAGCTTCACTGGCTGAATGCAACTTGATAAGATGCTTTACTGCAAGCAAGAAAAAAAAATGCATATACTTACCTGCCTGCCTACCTATCTACTTAAAGACTAGCCTACTGCAGAACATAACAATCAGGTTGTACATATCAATCATATCCCTTTCCTATTACCCTTTCAAATCTATGGATCTATGGCCATCCTTTACTGAGAGTCTGGCAGGTATTTGCTCAGTGTTTACACAATACTTCCGTCCAGCTCAGATACTCCCCCGCTTCAGCCTTTGCACTTTCCATGCACGGTGTACTTTCTCATATTACTCCACTCAGATATCACTCCCCCTAGTTTATTTTTTCATCTCAGAAAACATTTAGCATTCTGTGGTTATTGAGAATGTTTATTCTTAGTTTAATTTGGGCTACTTTCAGGATGTATTCCCTCCCAAGGCTGATTCTACTTCTACGAAAAGTTAAGATTCCTCTAAGCATATAAAAGTGATCGTTTTGCTTCCTTGGGGCCTGTTTTAGCTGCAGTCCAGATGAAAAGCCGTCACCTCATATTGTATTTCATTGATAGATGTCATAACCCCCTATGGGAGTCATTATAAAGGCTATCTATCTATTCATCTTTGCAATCTCTAGTCTGACACAATATTTACATAGCTGCTTCCAAATATCAAGTAACTAAAATGGTATCCACATAGTTACAAATCTGATAAACACTGAGGGAGGAAAGCATGGCATATCAATACAGCATGCTGCTAATTCATTCAGATTTGGAAGGAAAAGACTTCTGGATACACTTAAATGAGTAATATATAGTAGGAGAGGGATTTTTGAGTTTCTTTTTACATTTATACTATCTGAGATGGTTTGTTTACACATGCACAATTCCCCCCCTTAGTTTAAAACTATTTCCTTTGAGATGTTTTAAAAGTTTGTTTAGCAATCTATTGTTTAGAAATGAGCTTATATTGGGTTCCCAGTGATCAAGATTTTTTTTCCTCTTGTCTATATTGATAAGATTTGTGCTAGTTTGCATATTTCTACCTTTATCTAATATCAGATTGCTATTACCCCATTTCAAATGGATCTTTCCAAATAAAATAATAATTTGCAAATGAGGATAATACTTTTTATTAAACAAAAAATATTCATTTTTTTCTATTCTAATAGTTCATATTTAAACTATTCTAATAGTTTATATTAGTTTTTACTTTTGTTTTTAAACTTTTCAATAAAATTATATTTTAAAAATGTTTGCTGTGTTCATATTAAATTCAGAGAATAACAAAGTTATTTCCTCTTGATCCAATGCTTATTAACATACTTAAGTATGAAAACAAGATGTTATACCTAAAGAATAATTATATTTCAATCTAAAACAAAAGTATAATAGATACAGATAACTCGATTCTGATCTTCTCCAGGGAATAAATACTACCCTTGGAACAATAATCAAGTGAAGGAAAATTCCTTGCTTTGCAGAGTTAACAAAGAAAATATTTTATGTATTTGTTTTATTAAAAAAACCTTACATGCTTAGAATCTATGAACTGAATGCAGTATCTGTCTGGACAAGTATCTCCACATGTTCTGTTTCCTTCCACTCAAATTGTGCTTGGTGTGATTGCTACGTTTGTGATAGTGTATAATTCAACACTAAACAGAATCACGCTGCATCTCAATGACAACATACAAGCCAAAAGATAAAAGAAAATATAGTGAATCCAAAAACCTTCCATTACCTCATAAACAATGTGTATATTTCATCTCACATACAGGAATTTCCCCTAAGGAGTGGTTTCAATGTGTAAAAAAAATATGAAGTTATAAAGATCGCTGAACTACCAAAGAACTACAGAGAATATATACTACTGTAGTTAACATGAAATTGCACCCTCATTAAACAGTGGATACTTTATATTTTTGTAGTGCTTCATATAATCACAATGTACCTTTTCTTGAATGGTTTTTTCTAGGAAATTCAGCAAGATAGCATGCTGGCAAAGGATATGACGAAAACATTGGCCAAGGATATGGATCATCACCCTAAGGAAGAGCACAGAGAAGAAGAAAATTATGTGATATAATTTGTTCAACTCATTTAACTAATTTAAGCTCTCAGTGAATAACAAAGAATCAGTATCTTAATTTAAACATACTATTCTTGGTGCTACACTTAAATTTTATTATTAAAAAGCATATCACTCCTAATTTTATACATTGAGTTGACAAGCAGAAATAGACTATGTTGGTCTATAAAAAATGCATAGATAATTATGAAAGATAATAAAGGAATATGCAAAACAAACACTACATAATGGAAGTATTACAAATCAGTGTTTTACAGATATAATTAATATGTGAAATAGCCAAGACACTCATTATCCATATTACATCTATGTGATGTCAGTCAGCTATACGCTTTAAAGTGATGTTTATTATTTATTTACTCTTTAAATTCTTTAAAATGATGTTAATCCACCTTGGAAAGGACAGGATGGAAGCAGTGGTGGGATTAAAACAAAATTACTACCGGTTCTGTGGGCATGGCTTGGTGGGCGTGGCAGGGGAAGGATACTGTAAAATCTCTAATCAGAGGTGGTATTTGCCAGTTCTCTGAACTACTCAAAATTTCCGCTACCGGCTCTCCACAACTGGTCAGAACCTGCTGAATACCACCTCTGGATGGAAGACCCAGTAAGAGCAACTTGTTATTGTTTAGCTGATGGTTTGGTGAATAAAATCACTCACATAGCTCCAGGCTAAACAGGGTGGATAGTATCTAACGACATGACAAGAGTTGACATCTTTAGGAGTTACTTGGAGGTTTCCTGATATTTGTGTTATGAGAAAGTGGACAACATTCTAGTTTTGCCATCTAGGGACTTGGTCCCTGATCTTTCTGGCTAGTTATCTGGCCACTGATGAAGCAAGAATTTGAACCCAGTATACAAGCAACACTTCTCTTCAGGAATTAAAAATTCCAGTGATCTTTTAAAAGGCATTATTTTATCCCCTCCTTAACTATGTATCCCAAATCCTTTAGCTCTGGACAACTATAATCCTATTTTCAACTTTTCCTTTCAGGAGAAAATGCCTGAGAAAGTGGTGGAGTGACTACTACAATTGGTTCCTGCAGTTCACTTTACATGGGTGACCATTCGAAAACTTCAACTGGTGAAAAATGCAGCAGCCCTTGGGCTTATGGGAAAGTCTCACTACTGCCACATAATACTGTTATGGGAGCTGCATTGGCTGTCGGTGTTATTTCCATCAAGGTGCCGGTCCTTAAAGTCTTATGTGGCTCAGGGCTTGGGTATCTCCAAGATTCCCTTTCCCACACGGTTCTCCCTCCGGCCCATCAGAGTGCATAGACAATGCCTGTTCAAAGTCTGCTACCTATCATGATGTCAACGAAGGACTGACAGAAACAGAGTTTTCTTTCAGAGGGCCTTCCTTTGAAGCAGCAAACCCCGTGAAACAAGGGCTGCTCTGTTTTCGTGGCCTTCTGAAGGCCGAACAACTTCTGGCTGTTTCAAGATTTCTTCAGAGACTGAAGAAATTTTGTTGCTGCTAAAAATGGACGGATGTTGCTATACTTTATAACTTACAGGCCGTCCTCAACTTACGACTACAATTGAGACCAACATTTATGTTGCTAAGTGAGAAATTTGTTCAGTGAGCTTTGCCCCATTTTCTTGCCCCATCTGTGAGATGAATCATTACAGTTCTTAAATTAGTACCACAACTGTTTGCTGGGTCTGGTTTCCCATTCACTTTGTCAGAAGGTCACAAAAGGGGATAATTTCATTCTGGGACACTGCAACTGTCATAAATGTGAGTCAGTTCTCAGGCATCCAAACATACGCACATGAGGATGCTGCAATGGTCAGTATTTTTCAGTACTGTTGTAACTTCAAACAGTCACTAAACAAACTGTTGTAAGTCAAGGACTATCTGTATATGGTTATTTATTATAATTACTGTATTGGTATATTGTTCATATTGTCTTTTTCAGATTGAAACAGCCTATAATTATATAGCTAATTAATTAAAATTAAACACAGAGTTAATTAAAATGAAATGAAGTGCAATAAATTTTTTAAAAATGCATCCATGTAGATAGAGCAAGGGCGTCAAACTCAATTTCACTGAGGGCCGCATCAGGGTTGTGTTTGACCTCAGGGGGCAGACATGGCCGTGGCTAGCTCAACATCACTCATGTCAGGGGTGCCAGTGGTGGCCCACTGCTAGCGAAAACGGACTTCCGGAGCTCCATTTTCCGGCCTGCTGCAATCCTTTGCCAATGAAAACAGAGCTCCGCTTTTGCTGGCAGAGGCACTGCAGGCCGGTCCTTTGCTGATTCCCGGGTGGTCCCACAGGCCAAATTTAAGCACCCCTGATGTAGACTCAGAGTCGTGGTAGCTCGGGTTTGCTATAGATTCTCAGCATCTGGGATCTTCAACTTTGGCAGTTTAATATCTTGCATATATTTGGGGAATAAACTTGAACACTGCGTAAGTAATGCATATCAGGGCCATAAACTCAGAAGTTATGAGAAGTATGATGACACTGAGGGATTTTTTTTACAGCTGCCAAGAAGAGCAGCAGAAGTTTTAAACAAATCATTGATTAAATAAAAGAGAAAGTAATCAACTGCAACTATTACCTAGTGAGGCTAGATGAAAAGGAAAACATAAAATACATTTACAACCTTATGCAGTACTCTTGGAGGCAAGATCCGTTCGGTGGGGCCCCCGACGTGACTTATTCTAACGAGAATATGGTTTCTCTCAACCGATAAGCCATCGATTATAAATTGCCTGCAGCAAAACAAAACTGAATTGAGAAATGACTGAAAAACTCAAAATGTAATACTTGGGATCCAAATCATCCACAAAACAGCTCCCATCCATTTGCAGTATTGGTATTACAATTACAAAAATGGGGAATAGGCATACACCTATTCCTTCCATTACATAAGGTTCCTTATCTGGCAATACAATAATGTCACACGAGTTATTACAGGTCTATATTGTACAACAGTGGCTCCCAACCTTTTGGGTACTAGGGACCATTCCATGGAGAGAGATTTTTCTGTGGATTGGAGAGGGCGTAGTTTGTGTGCTGTCTGCAACCCAGATGGGGTTTCGCTTGTATGCGTGGCCCATTTCTAGCATGCTGTGAACTGGTGCTGGTCCAGGGACCCCTGCTATATAGTACTTAGATTAATCATCTGGTTTCTGAGCTACATTAACACTACTTCTTAAGAGCGTCTTATAAAACAGAAGATAAAAATTGGAAGTGGTTGACATCTTCAATCAGATAACAGATGGACAGATGCATGGATGCTAATCATTCCTTTAGAGACAAGCTTTAAGAAAACAAGAGTAAGCTATAATATTGGAATGTCTATTCATAGAAGTCAGTACTTTTCTATTATTACTACATTTATCCCACCTATTTTTCCAGAACAACAACCCTGTAAGATGGGTTGGGCTGAAAGAGTGTGTCTGACACAAAGTCACCCAGCTTTCATTTCTAAGGGTGTTTCAGAACTCATAATCTCCTGATTTCTAGATCAGAACCTAACCACTACTCCAAACTGGCACTCTTTAAATATGCACAGAGGACCAGGAAGAATACAGAGAACCATGTTTTAGAGTCAGAGCATTTTAAATTATTGTTTCTTACCGAGGAGTTTCAGAAATACTGATGGCATTTTCATTCTGAGCATCTAAAAGCACTTCTGATACCTTGTATTGAGATTCTAGAAGCAGAAGGGTATTTAGATCACAGCATAGCACATTTAATAACCTGTAAAGCACAATATATAGGAATGACAGTTAGAAGTTTTGGTGATACAGAGATGTTAAAAATTTCACACTCAGCTTGTTCTTTATATATGATGAAGTAACATGATATGGAAGGTTAATATTGTTTGTTATCCCCACTTGGTATGAAAATTAATTTTTTATGCATTTTGAGCTGGAAAAACATTGCATGTAAGTCAGTCAGGCTATTCATCCACTTAGCTATTATCATCTATTCTGATGAACAGCTTTGTATTCTCCTTTTTGTGTGTGATCCTTCTAAGATGCCAGGACTGATTTGAATACACACCAGGCAAAAGATAACTATAACAGATTCTCCACACAAAGATATCAATTGATGCAATTATTTTCAACCTTTCATTTATTATTGAAATTACCCCTTGTAAAGATGAGTGGCTATATAAATTTGATAAATACATTAAATAAAGTTTATCTAGCCCAATATTTCTCAACCTTGGTGACTTCAAATCCCAGAATTCTCCAGCTATCCATGCTGATGTCCACACATTTTAAGTTACTTGACATTGCTCTAGCCACTCCATCAAGGCCCTGGTTTTCACTAAAGCAGAAATAAAAAACTATTTCCCCATTAAAAAGATAAGATAAATTAATTAAAATTAATTACATTATCTAAGCACCCCCCCCCAGTAATTACTCATTTCTTATATTCATATCCCACTGCAATCCAGTTAAGGAATCTCAGTGGTTTACAGTTATAGACATTAAAATGTTGATTGTAAAAACTGTATTTCAAAAAATAAAAAGAAACAGGAAAGAAACAATAAATGGCACCAGTCCCCAGGTACTCTATGAAAGAGCTTTGTTCTAAGTCTATATTCAAACTTGGCAACTTAAAATGTGTGTACTTCAATCACCAGAATTCAATAGCATCTCCAGCATAATTGTGATGGTACAATGATTAGAATGCAGTACTGCAGTTCAACAGTTCGAGTCTCACTGGCTCATGGTTGACTCATCCTTCCATCCTTCTGAGGTTGGTAAAATAAAGGCCCAGATTGTTGGGGGCAATATGCTGACACTGCTTTAGAGAGGGCTGTAAAACATTGTGGTATATAAGTCTAAGTGCTATTGCTATTCCTACAATCCAAGGTCATGATGTAAAGCAAGGTATCGTCACCCTACTACTAATATAAAAAATATTGAATTACCTCCCTTAGCAACTTGACATAAATATTAAAAAATAGGGGACGAAAACTGATTCAAATGAAGTGGACTCTACACCAATCTCTTTTCTAAACTACTACTAAATGGAATTAAAGAAGAAAGGGAACCACTGTAGCATTGTACCCCAATCCCCTCATATCCAGTAGGATATCATGTTGATAGTATCCAAGACCATTGAGAAGTCTAAGAGGACAAGGATAGATACAATTCGCTCCTCCAAGTTTTGACAAAAGTTATCCATTAGAGTGAATTTAACCCTGCATGCAAAGGATTCTGATAATTTGCTTCCTTCAGAGTTGGCCCCACCATCATTTTGACAATCTTTCCTAAAAAAGAAAGGAGACCAGGCAGCAGTTATCTAACACTTATGGATTCAAGAAGAAACATCTTAATGATGGGCACACTTAGCTTCTTTCAAGGCTGTGAGCAACAACCCTTCCCACAATGAGATTCAGGTAACCACCTCTTCCCAGCAGTCTGCAGAAGCCAAGAAGGGCAAAGGTCCAGCTCCTATGTTAAACAAACTTACAAAACATCCTATCCACTTAATCACAGGACACCAGGACACAGAAGTTCCGAATAACGTGACAAGAGAGTGCCCCAGGTCTTGCTTCTATTTTGGCCCTGTGGAATCAAGACTGGAGTGAATCCCTAAGGTGCTTTTTTAAGAGGCCACTGGACAAGAAACTCCAGGTGCTTCTTGAAAAAGCACCTTTGAGACAACCATGACCTGGATGACTGGGAATCTCCATAGATGACTGGAGTGAATCTGAATAACTTTGTAATCAAAATGCTCTACCAACGGGCCATTGTAACCAGGTGTCAATTCTTGATCTTGACTATACCCATAAGGGAATTTCCTATCCTAAAACATTGGAAAGCAACCTGACGATGCAGGATGTAAGACAGAAATAAAAGTGTTTTATCTCTTTTTGCTATAACATAGCTCCAAAGCTCAGTCAGATCCATTTTGTTTTGTTTTCTTCCAGTGACACACTAGACATCACTTCTATCATTTCATGTTCCAGAGGTCCTCAATATACTAATATGTCATAACCATAACCACAAGCCCACCAGGGGTGGGATTCTACCGGTTCAGACCGCTTCGGGCGAATCCTTTGCTCCGAAGATCAGCTGGCAGTGAACCGGTTCGCTGCAACGAGCATGAGGACCCGCCCACCCGCTCCTGCTCTTTTCTGTGCTTCATTTCCTTTGTTTAGAGCACAGCTGATTCACGCGGCAGAGCAGTTTGCCACACCTCAGCTGTTTTATTCACAGGGACTGCTGTAGGTGGTTAAGTATTAGAACTTTTCTAAATGTGGAGTGCACGTGCGCGCGTGAAGCACACAATCACCGAACCGGTTGTTATACTGGTGGAACCCCACCCTTGAAGTCAACACAATGCCTTCTGTGGTCAAAATTCTTCTGCGATATTTGATTATAATAAAAAAATAAAAATCCCATTGACTTATATTGTTTCTTGGTGCTTTCTCTCAAGAAGACTATCAACTGGATCCAGGACCCTATTTTAAGTTTCTACTCCCACAAAAATGTGAACTCTTTCTATCATTTTTCAAGCATCAATCTTTTATGTATTGAAAAAGAAATTCATCAGAATTGACGTAGTACATGTGTAGTATAGAAAACTGTAAAAAGAATAGAACCTGCAAGTAGCAAGCTTTTAATTAAAAGCAGAGGTGACCTGAGTAACTTTAGCCAACTCTATGTAGCTACAGAAATCTGGTGCTGCTACAATTCTAGTTTTTAAATCAGTCAAAATCAGGTGAAAAAAAAAAAAGAAATTGTGCAACACCCCAGACTGAATAATTTTTAAATGTGTTACCCATATCTTTGAGAAAAATGGATAAGGAAAGGAAAGGACTTATTATTTTATGGAACAAAAACTTTTCTGGTTTCTGCAGGCCGCTGGGAAGAGATGGTTACTGGAAGCAATCTTTATTCTTTTTTGAAAATTTAAAAAAAATCACTTTAATGTGTATCATAGAGCTTGATCTTAGCTATGCTATTTTTCCAAGAACCTATTTTCATGGGGAAATGGCAATAGATTATTTTTCAACTTATTTGTTTGCTGCTAAAAATGGCAAAATTTTGAAAATGCTGCCTAGAAAATTGTATGGACATGCCCAAGTAACTGCAAGGAGTCAAGTCAAACTTTGAGATCTTGTATATCTATGTTTATGTGTAAATAATAGCACAAAGCTACTACAGGCAATACAAAAATAACTATTTTTGTCCTAACAACATGTTTTATGTTTTATTCATAAAGTTATTTTCCATAAACTTCAGAAACATCATTCATTTGTTGGTATATCTCAAGGAGTGATACTGTAAGCTTAATAAATATTTAGGTATTCAATGTGTATGTAAATATTTATGCAACAAATATAATCCCTCATAGGTATATGACTTATGACCATGTCATTTTATAATGTTTCAACTCTGAAAAGCTAAGTATGAATTATTTAAAACAAATCACGTTTTTGGGGAAAACAGTGCTATAGTGTACTCAGGAATCAGTGCAAACTTTAACAAAAAATACATCAATGGCATTTTACAGCCATAATATCTTTGACAATTTAATCGGTTGCACCAAAAATAAATCGTAAATATTGGCATTAACCCACCCACAAGAATAACATGGAGCATGGGTTAGATGGTTTTCTTCAATGGTTTGTGGACGCTTGGCACTCCATAAAGCAATTAAAACAACATTATTCCACTATGCTTTTAATAGTTTATGGGTGCTCATTGGGGTGTGTTAACAATTTTAATATGTTGCTGTAAATAACACTGAATAACAGGGTCTTTGGACTGGAGCAGGGTACAAAAATTGTAGGCAAATTAAATCACTAGTATAATTTAAATACCAAGAAAATTGTTGATAACCATTTCTAATTATTATGCTGTTCCAAATTCATTTTTGTTAAATTCTCCCAATTTTAGTAACAGGTGCTTTATTTCATTCTTGGTTATATGTATTCAGAGGCATATTTTCCCCCCATAAATGCTGTTTAGAGAAAAATCAAATGAGAAACTAATAGAATGTTATTCATTAAAGTCCGGCATATTGCATGATTAGTATATTATCAATAAAAGTGACAACGTATCAATTTTCTAGGATATTTTAAATGCTTTTCAGAACTATTGGAAAAGATGTTCTATAAAATATATTTAAAAGTTCACTTAAACGTGGAAACTAGAATAAATCACACTTGCTTTGTTTTTTTAAATAAAAATGGAGCGACTGGAGTAGAATTTCCAACAAACATAAAACAAAAATAGAGGTAATAAGATGGCTGATTATTAAAGCCACACAGCGGTTCCGTTTCAATTCCAAAAATGTGTTTTCAAACTCATGGGAGCACAAATAAAGTACCGTCTGCAACTCCCTTGCAGCAACTCTCCATACTGTGTGCTCTCCTAAGAGAGGCAATGAAGACCAACAATAAAATATCTGATATAGGAAATGAACTAAAACAACTATATTAATAACTAGTCTTGACGGGTTGCAAGATTACTGGAAGAGAATAATGGTTTTAATCCAGATAATGCATCTTCAAAACAGAGAATCCAATTTAAAATCCTTATGCACTGAGAAAGCCTTGTGGCACTTCAGGTACAAATCAAAAGCTAAAATTAACTTGGGGCTTATCATTATGCTCAGAAAGGACATGTATATATAACTGAATGACAATTACTTTAGCACATTTACTTGAGAACATGCTGAGTTACTTACTTTGGGGAAATGCTACATATTCTCAAGAGTGTTAATGAACTGCTGTCAGAGAGACTGGGAAACTGCTGATTTCTGAACTGAAATCTATGGGGAAATCTTTTTTTTTTAAAGACTACCCAGCAATCTTATCAAACAGGCATCTATCTATACAACTCTGCAAATTCTCCCAAGCGCAGCCATTCCTCAAAATGGTAGCTTTGGGGAAAAGATAAGCAGTATGAAAGAAGAAATGCATATTCCCATGTTCCTTCATAATACTGCAGATAACGATTTTGTGAAACAAACACCCTAGACAATTGCAGTGATTAAGCAGCATTGCCAGGTATCTGAACGTGTGTCTCCTGTGTTCTTCTAAGAACAGAACACATTGTTCACTTAGGTGTAGCCAACTCTAAGCAGAAAATGGACATCTTAGACATTAGTAAGATTTATAAATCCTCATGCCTATTAGAGAAAACATCTGGCCTACACAACATTGACATCAGCTGCAAGAGGCTGAGGTGCATGTTGTGATCTATTTTCCAAGTGTATGGCATGATATGTAGGTTATGTTGAAGGGTTGAGAAATACACCCAAGGACAATACCTACGATCTGAAAGCTTGTAATTAAAATGAGAAAAAGGCAGTCATACAAAGTTCCATTCTCAGATCATGATTCTGCAAGTCTCAGAAGAATCTGGCTCCGAAAAGAGATATCTCAAAAAATGAAATACTTGCTGGCTGTGTATTTCTAGCTAATCAAATACTGAATATCATAGTTATATGCATATTATATATCAATGTGAGATTTTTTTTACTTGTCTACGTATTCCTTCTCACTTTGCCTGGATTCTTAAGAATTCATTTTAATTGGCACTGGCAATAAAAAATAACAAGAAGGAGAAAAAGTTATACATTTTACCTTGTTAAATAAATCAGATAAGAAAGCATCTTACCTCAGTCCAAAGATATGAGACTGCTCATAGTTGAATAATGAATGGATTTTAGCTTCAGTGTTAACAACTATAAGCCTGTCAATTATATCCTGAAATACAAAAACTGGTTTTACCAACTTTTGATCGTCAATGCTTCAGTTGCTGTTAGTCTTTAAAAGCTGTGTTTAAAGTATATGAATACTTGATGAAAATACCTTTAGATGTTCTAGGCTTTAATAGATAGATTGATAGATGGATAGATAGATAGATACAGACAGACAGACAGACAGACAGACATATTAAATAGACAGACAAACAGATGGATATAGATGACAGATTGATAGATGATAGACAGTCCGATACACACACACATTCACACACAGACACACAAATTCCCTTCTGATATTAGGTCGAGAAATAAAGCTGCTTTTTTTTAAAAAAGAAAAATGTGAAAGACCTTTCCAGCTGAGTTACTTATGACCAAAGCACAAGTTTCAAGCAGACACTTCTTTACCCTTCAAAAAGTAAACTAAAATCACAATTTTTGGCCTGCCAAGACCAATGAAAAGAAACCAAGGATTTCTAACTCTAGCTGGAAAGTAGTTATAAAGCATATTTATTTAGTTATACAGGCTTCCTCACATATATGATTTATATTATATAAATAACTTCTTACCATAATCATACCTGCAATTTAGGTGGCATATTTGTACCAACACAAAAGAAGGTAGCTTTTGCAAATTAAATTTTTGCTATGATTATGGAAAAAAGTATAAGTGTAATCTGCACACAGACTGCCCTCATGCTGCATGTAATAAAACTACCAAAAATATATTCAAGATTTATTGCCAATGTAGTAGAAAATCAAAATATTATATTTTTATCATTCCTTGCAAAAGAATCATTCCAAGTATCTTTTTAAGAGGATAAGAAAAAACACTACTTACAACAACATCTGTAGGAACTTCACGAAGAGAATACTCTGCTTTATTAGGTATCTCTTGGTCACCTATCAGTTCATAAACAGCAGGGCAGGACAGCAAATTTATCAGTGCTAGGAAAAACTGAGGATAGTGGTATAGTTGACAGGACAATAATAATGGTGATTCATTTAAAGACTTTTTTACGTGAGCATTACCATTTACTTTGGGGAAAATATATAATATATTCAAAATTTTACCACACCACTTTTGGCTTCTTAGTTTCAATTAAAGCTTTCGAGACACACACACAGCAAAAAGAAAAAAGAGCAAGACTAACAATGGGTAATTATTTATTAATGAATTAATTATTCACAGGGTGCCTTCCATGGATTATAGAGTAGGAGGAATCCAATCCAACACCAATCAGGCAACAAGAAGTCTAACTTTCTGAAATTAATGCAAATTCCTAAAATTAAAACAGATTTTTAAAAAGCTGGTCACTTCATATAAGGGACACACAAGCATGAAGATATAACAACGCCACCATTCCCAAAGAATAAAAATCTGGTTAAAATATCTTCAAAAGACCTGGATAAGAAATCACTCCCTTAATTGTAATGACAAAACCAGTCTTGGCTTCATCAGCAAGCCATTCTATATTCAAGGCCTGCCATATAAAAAACAAAATTAGCCGTTGAGTTAGCAGAATTAACTGTTGAGTATGGCAGTAGACCTGCAAAAACATACCCTCCTGAAAAGGTAGGAAAGGTGGCAGGCTGCATGGTTTAGGCCAGGGGTGGGGAACCTTAGTCTTTTTATAAGGCCCATGCTGGCTCAGGAATTCTGGGAGTTGAAGTCCACAAGTCATAAAAGGGCTAAGGTTTCCCATCCCTAGTTCTGGCAGTCTTGTAAGTAATCTGGGTCCAAGACATCTAAGATTTTAGTGAGCTTGAAAAATAAAGAATAACCCACTTTGCTGTTTCAACACAGGGACTATGAAAGTACAACACAATCTAGATGCCACATTCCATACAATTTCCCCCAGACATTGGCCAGGGGGAGTGGGGGTGTTCATTAACCTTCCCTAATATTGGGAGGTTACGTTCTCCTGACTGCCTATAAACTGGAATTTGCTGTTTGTGAAACTGGGCAATTATTATTATGTTTTAATTGTTGGCTTTAATTTTCTATGCTGCCCGGAATCACTTCTGTGGGAGGCCTCATAATTTGTTTAAAATATAGACAGATAAATACATCTTCCAGGGCTATCCCATGAAGAATGGATTGTAAATTGAGGTTACCAGTATATGTAACACCAGGTCTAGCATTCAGCCCATTCACAAATAGATGCAACTGGTAATAAATGTCCTCCTTACCAACATGTGCCAATCTAATATCAAGATTGGTTCCGGAAGAACCTCTAAACTGTAAATCTGGTCAGGAGCATTTTATTTCCCAATTTCTGAAGTCCAGGCTCTCAAATTAAATTTACCAATTAGAGGGAAAACTTAAATGGATGGTAGATCAAGTATTTAAAGCCAACTTTGCAATTAGGTAGTAAATGAAGAACAGTAACAACAGAGGCTGCCAAAAGTTTAAATGTTAGTGCATCCAGCTACCTCTTGTCTCAACTAAAGAGGACTAAACAGACTCTTCTATACTGGTAATAACACTGACAAAAATTGATAGCATATAACACTTATTTGCTCCTTAGGTGGCAAATGCCACCAAGAGGCCGTGTATTGTCTTTCCTTCCTTCCTTCCTTCCTTCCTTCCTTCCTTCCTTCCTTTCCTTTCCTTTCCTTTCCTTTCCTTTCCTTTCCTTTCCTTTCCTTTCCTTTCCTCCCTCCCTCCCTCATGGACTGTTCCAGAACTCTTGCAGAACAGTCTAAGGACATAATAAACTAACCAAACTCTTTTTACTCAGCTTGTAGAACCAATTTAAAAACAAAATGAAGCAAAATATACATATTCTTACACTCAACATAGAAGCTGGCCAAATAAAAATCAGCGAAGAAAATTATTGCTCTATTGCATACAAATAAAAAGTGAGGCTTGTAATAGAATGCAGGAAAGAACTTGATGCTTCACAAAGCAACAGCAATTTCGTTTTACCGCAGGAGTAGTCATTTAATATTACTTTGCAAAGTATGCTTGTTTACATTCTAACAAAGAACGTATTATTTGCTGAGTGATGAATATTTGTAAAAACAAAAAGCAATCATGATTTTATATGGGAATCATTTTTATCTGGATAATTGTTTTTATTTGTAGTTGTTAGTAAAGGCATTTGGTATTATGGCTTCTGGCTGAGATAATAAAACAGGATTGACTGATACATACTGAAGCTAAAAATATCCTGAAGTGATTACACATAATTCTTCTTGAAACAATTTTGTTTCTACACCTTAATATTCTGTACTTTGAAAACATGAACCCTGAACTGAATATTTTTGAGTTAATTGGTTTATTTAATTGTTCATTTACATAATTTATATGATCACCTATCTCTCAGAAGTGACTCTGGGCAATGGACAAAGATTAAAACCCAATACTTAAAAAGAAGTTAGTTTATATGCTTTTCAGTTTTATGGAAAGAATCCTAATGAAATGAGGCTCATACATGGACTAGTAACTTTTGATGTCCTAGTATCAAATTAAGAAAATTAGAAATGTCAAACTACCCAAGGCTTTCCTCAAAAAAAACATTATACATAATATATATTCAGACTGAACATTCACATAAGTCTTTGTGAAGAGAAAAAATAAATAATTTTACCTTTTGACAGCTTCGGTCAATTGGATCTACTGGTGTTGGTCTAGGGTGAGTCATTCGGACATCATCTCTTCCACACTCCAGAACACCCCACAACTCAGTAATAAGGGCCTTTATAAATCCTAGGAAACAATTTTTTTTTTCATGATAGTTATCTACTAAAGTATTACATCTGCTAAAGAGGAAAAATGTTCCTTTTCACTCTTGATCGCTTACTGTGGGGGACATGCATGACCTTTGAGGATATACTTAGAAGATATAGGAAGAAGGGCAACAGAAGGAATACTTGTATAATCTTGAAATATGGCCATGGAACTTAGGCAAAAATCTTAAAAACAGATATTGTCAAGAATATTTGCCTCATCTCTTGGAACGCTTTCCCTTATTAATGTTAATCCACCTGTCCTATTATAACCCTTAAAAATACCATTGTATTTCTTTCAGAACAATATAATATGCATAATTTGATACTAAGTTCCTAATGTTGAGCCATGGTGGTGCAGTTAGAATGCAGTATTGCAGGCTAACTCACTGCTCCCTGTCAGCAGTTCAATTCTGACTAGCTGAAGGCTGACTCAAGTCTTCCATCCTTCCGAGGTCGGTAAAATAAAGACCCAGATTGTTGGGGGCAATATGCTGACTCTATAAACTGCTTAGAGAGGATGTAAAAGCACTATGAAGCGGTATATAAGTCTAAGTGCTAAGTGCTAAAGTTTTATTTGTAACAGCAGCCTAGTGGGTTTAGACTTGTACTTGTTTATTTGTTTATTTTCCCACCCAATCACCACTCCATATTCTAGATGATAACTTTACACACATTTTCATGTGTCTGTTCTGGAAGACTCAGTATCTTATTAATAATTGGTTCTTTGTTCTCTTCCATCTATCAGAAGTGCCTTTTAACTGCAATAGCAGTTTCAGATGGACTTTATATTTTGAAATCAGGCATCCAGTTATTATTAGCTTCCCCCTTTTCCCCCAGCAAATGTTGAGACAGTCTTTGGTGCAATCAAATGCCACTTATAAATCTGATGTGACCCGAGTTTATGTCTAGGCAGTGGTAGTATTCTACCGGATCGGCCCGGTTCGACAGAACCAGTAACTCCAAGGATCATCTGTGAGGGAACCGGTTCGCTCCGACAATCAGCTGCTGGGGCCCCCTGCCTGTCCCAGCTCTATTCTTACCTTTATTTCCTGCTTTTCAACTTCAGCTGCTTCGCATGGCACAGCTGATTGCAGCGTGTCAGCTGTTTTACACACATGGCTTGCAGCAGAATGTGAGCTGCAAATGCTGCATGTGTGCAAATCACACATTTGGCCCGTGAGCACGCAAAGTGTGCATGCACATGCCAAGTGTGCACTCACAACCAAACCGGTAGGAAATTTTTTTGAAACCCACCACTGTGTCTAGGCACTCTCCTTCACTGCATTTAAAACTACAATAAGACATGATGCAAAATCATCAAAGGCTCTTTTTCTCATATGTTCCTCTTCAATCATTATCCCTGAAGATGAGTTCTGGGAGAGCCAAAATCTCATAATCATTTAAAAACCTTGGTTTAACAAAATAAATGTTATAGATTCTGAGTAACTCAGTGTACAGACATGCATTGAGGAAAAAGTTGTGTACTTGATTTCCATCAGTTAATATATTGTTATTTAATTATAGATCTTTCCAAGACAGCTAAGTTAAAAAAAAATATTATTATCCCATACTTTCTGTGAGAGGACAAGGGCACATGCAGAATGCTTGATAAGAATTGATTAAAACCATCCCTGACTGACACTGTCTATATGCTGCTGCTGCATCCAGACATATATAGCAAACAAAGGTCCTCTTTTAACAAGTGTCTTGCTCCTTTCCAGCATTTATTTGCTATAAGCGGTTCAAAAAAGATATCTGATAGGTTGCTGGAAGCATGGAAGACCTGCTGTTTGAAAATAGCTGAAGCATCTATAGGATTGTCATGAATTCAGTATGAAGAAAGAGTATAGCACTGAGGAGAAGAATCATGTTTATTGCAAAAAGTGTTGGGTGTCTGCTTTATAAAAAAAAGAAGGATCCTGGACAATGGAAAAACAAAGATTTTTTTAGAAGTTGAGGGCTTCTATAAAATGGGAAATCCTAGAGATCTGATTGGCTGGACAGTTTGGGAAACCCAAGGAGGTATTTGTCAGTGTATCTGGAGTTTTTCCTACTGTTAGGCAAAATGGGCCTTTCAGGAGGGCAGATGTTCATTTTTACAGGAGATATGGATGTGGAGGTATCTAACTGCTAGATTAGATTGCAACTGGTGAGGAAGCTTCTATTTGATTTAGGTGGAATAGCAGAGAGGTGTATTTGGGACGGGAGTCAGTTTGGGCATGGTGGGAATTGAGAAAGAGATGAACTGGGTTTGACCATGGTCATATCCAAAAGACTTGTGGGATGTGCAATCGCCATTTTGTTTTATTAGGTTTATTTTCTCCACTACATTAAAAACTCGTAAGAACAGCTCAGCAAAGACAGTGAAGATTCCATTACAGATTACACCAACGGAGTAAGCAAGCATCTTCTTCTTCTTCACGTACAGAATAATTTATATGACATTAACTACAGTTGTGTGCTAAAGCCTCTATTCCAGAGAATACTGGAAAGTTCCATACAAGGAACCCTGCCTTTTTTTTTTTTTTTTTTTGCACATCTCTGATTACATATAACCAACTGGATGATACCCATGCATCTATGAATTATCTATGGGAATCTTTTATCTGTTTCAGTGCAATACTGCCTATAATTGCAAATATACAAAACATGATTCACATTCCTTGGTCTCTTGGGCTGCTGAACTCCCTCTTTCCCTTCCCTCATGGTACTTTTCCTCCTCTTCTACACAAAACCAGAAATTACCCTCAGGACTAGCACAAAATCAAAGGATAATCGAATAAATAAACATAGAATATAATTATCAATGTGGGAGAGATGTTCTGATGTAGACAGACATCAGAGTTACATTATTGAGCTTTAATTACAATGATGTACAATAAAATGATATTAAGCAAAACAAAATTACCCGAATTTTGTAGAGCTGCAGCCCCAGGGGCAGTTGCAGCTACTTGTGAAACAATTACTCCATAGCCAAACTTTTCACATCCACTCACCTGGTGCAAACAAGAGAATATGTTAGCCCCCAAACATATCATTTTCGCAGAATGAGCACAACTTAATGAGGACAATAATTAGTAGTGGGTTTTTGCATATACATCTCTTGTTTGTTTGGATTTGATAATCAAATGCATCATTAGATTCTAATTAGCATTCTGAGACCAACAAATAGCTCTGACAAGAAAAGGTTACAGTACAAGCAATCAAGTTATTTGGGTAAGCGAAATAATTGTTTTTATTAATTTTTGTTCCAAATATATATAAAACTTATATATATATAAAATAAATATATAAAACAAATAAAACTTAAGAAAACAAATATATATATATTTTCGTAGATTTTCACGGGTGCAGGTATGTAGGTCTAGGTGTGTTCGGGTCTTTTCCCATGTAAGATTAAGAGTAAGATACTCTTAATCTTTCCCGTGTAAGATACTTAATCTTACACGGGAAAAGACCCGAACACACCTAGACCTACATATATATATATATATACACACACACACACACACACACACATATATATATACATACATACATACATGCATGCATACATACATACATACATACATACATTTAAAAATGATAATGCCAACCTGGAGGTTCTTCATGAACCTATTGAACATGAAGGTGACACATTCAGTGACTGTTCCTGTGTTCTGTAAAAGGAGAAGACCTTTCGGGGTGGTGGCAAAATTTAACAAGTCATCCAACAACGTTTCTTCTAATACAATACTGAGAGAGAGAGAAAAAAATCAAATACAGTTCTGTGAGTACATCAAACAGCAAAATAAACCAAACACTTCCTTCTCCTATAAAAACTGTAATAGCACTTAAAGCTTTGTTTTGTTTTTCTTATACGAAGGACGTCTTTGTAATATGAAAGACATATGCTATTCTATTAACACATAATATTTGTTACGAAAATGTTTCCCTTCCACATTGCCTCTGTTGCCCAATCCACCATCTGGCTGCAATTAATTCATGTGCAAAATCATCTGCATATCCATGTCTGCTCTACCTACACTGCAGCTGTCTCCCCTGAAGGTCCAACATTCTCTAATAGGCTTGGCTATTAACTCTGCTAAGCACATTTTTCTCCAATGCCCATGCAACAAAACTCCCCATGTCTTCAACTCAGACATTTTATTTATGGTTATGAAAACAACTTTGTACCTCTCTTCACTGAAAGGAATCTAAGCCCTAAGCCCTAAGCCCTAGAATTAAAATTTTAAAAAATTCCAATACAGTAAAATTAAACATTAGTGAAAGAAGGCCTATTTAATAATGATTTTGAAAAAAGACATCTAGAACTCATAAGTACTACAGCTCATCTACGCGATGTTATATTATTCCACAGAGAAAACCTATTTCCTTGTCCCTGGCAAGTAGCAATCTGCAAATTCAATCACAAGGAGCAGGACCTTTCTCAAAGACACTGATATTACTGAGGATTAACTGGAAAAAAATGTTTGGGGCATCTGAATTGTACTCTGTACAATAAGAAAGCAGGATCTTTTAAAAACAGTCTCATTCCTATATTCAAGAGCAGAAGCTTTGTTTTTATGAGGATGATGAGGATGATAAGGATGATGATTTGATTCAAGAAAAGAAGGTTCCTAGAATGTAAAATGGGTACAAAGCATGAATCACCCAAGTCAATTCTCAGTTTGGTATAATTTAGGTGAGACTGGTATGGGCCCACAGCTAAGTTCATTGTTTCAGAATAACAATGAAGAAGAAATGCTGGTGGCATTCATAGTACAGATAGTCCTCAACTTACGACCACAATAGAGCCCAACATTTCTGTTGTTAAGCAAGACATTTGTTAAGTGAGTTTTGCTCAATCTAACAATCTTTCTTGCCACAGTTGTTAAGTGAATCAACACAGTTGTTACATTACTAACAAAATTGTTAAGCGAATCTGGCTTCTCCATTGGCTTTGCTTGTCAGAAAGTCAAAAAAGGTCATCACATGACCACGAGATATTGCAACTGACATAAATATGAACCAGTTACCAAGGATCTGGATTTTCATCGCGTGACCATGGGGATGCTGCCACAGTTGTAAGTGTGAAAAATGTTCATAGCTCACTTTTTTCAGTGGCATTGTAACTTTGAACTGTCGCTAAATGAACTGTTCTAAGTCAAGGACTACCTGTACCAATCTCTAGATTTTAATTTATCACATTAATAATCTAAATAATCTACAGAATTTACTCCTACGTTTGCGGAGAATTATATTGTTGAGCCAGTAGCAAACTAAGGTCTGTAAATCCAGAGCCACATTTTGCAATGCTCATAAACATTCTGTAGAGCTGAGTTGGATCTCTGCTGATTATGCAACTGATTCCAGACAGCTTTCTAGGCAACTATATGAAAATAGTTTGTCAATGTTGTCTTGTGCAATATGTTTTCAACTTCTTGGGGTAGCCTCTTAAATGATATTATTATTTACTACTATTGTAAACTGGACTATAAAATTCACAGTTAATCTACTTTCAGTCAGGGCTACAAAATCACGAGGCTAGCTAGTTAGATTGAAACCTGCATAGAAATTTCATCCTCAAGATAATGAAGCACTATAAAATAAACTACAAATTAAAAACAACCTGCACTTTGCATGTAGTCCCAATGCTTTTTGGGCCTTCCCCTGACCGAATCTCAGTTCGGCATAAATATTCTATGTTTTGCATGGGTCTACTCTTGAAGAGTACTTGGAACTTAGAGCTAGCAACAAATAAAACTGCACACTCAGGGTTTCCTGAAGATGGCCCATGTAGCATCACCATTACATGACTGAACTGGTTGCCTGTTTGCTTCCGGATTCAATTCAAGGTGTTGGCTAGCACCTTTAAAGCCCTTTTATGGCATGGGACCAGGCTACCTGAGAAACTATCTCATCCCAATGAGATTGGCCTGCCCCACTCACTCCAGCAAAGAGGGCATGCTGCAGATCCTGTCAGTCCAGGAATTTCAGATGTTGAAGTCCAGGACAGGAGCCTTTCCTACCATGGCTGCAGCCTTCTAGAACATTGTGCCATTTGAGGTGAGATCCATCCCACTTTCTTGACCTTCCAAAAGGGCCTGGCTCTGCTGACCCACTTGGGTCAGGGTTAGCTTTTGGGTTAAGAAAAAATATCCCATCCACAATTCCATGTGTATACTGCTTCCCAGTTAACCCAATTCCCCTTAAATTTTAATATTTTTAACATTTTAATCTTCATATTTTTCTTTCTTTTTTAATGATGTGGCAAGTTCGTCAGAGTCACACAGCAGTGAGATGGGCAGCATATAAATTGAATATATGAAATAAAATAAATTACCTATGATTAATTTTCTGACAATTATCACCAAAACAAAACAAAAAGATGGGACATGATCCATTGGATAAGCTTAAGACACTTGAAGTGGAAAACAAACAAATGAAACCCTAGAAAATATTGGCTCTGCTTATTCATGTGATGTTCTTATGGTATAGCACTGCCCGTTATAATCCTCCCCACCATGGATACAAGCACATGTTGTATCTCCCCAAACTACTTATAGCATATTGCTGGCATTTGTACCAGAGGTGAAATTCAACCACTTCACAGCACCTTGGAGAGGTAGGGAAGATTTGAATTGGTTGGCCCCACCCATGCCCACCCGCCTTCTTCCTTTTAGAGACTGAGTCCCACCAAGCCACGCCCACAGAGCCGGAAGGGGGAAAATTTGAATTTCACCCCTGATTTGTACCCATTGATAAGCCAGAATCTAGAGATGTACTTTCAGCATGAACTGCATTTTCATTATCTTTCTTTCTATCTGTTTCTATGCTGCTACTGCTGGGTTCCTTCTATCAGCAGGCCCCTAAAAAATGAAGCTCTCATGGCTTCATTTGTGATTTGTTTTCATTATATGTGTTAACAGAGAAGTCTAGTCTCTTTTTCCCCTAGCAGAGCAAAAGCGTATGCCAGAACAAAATAATGTTTTATTATTCTGAATTATTGAGAGAATAATAAATCAGTCCCTGATTCGCATGAAAGCTGACTTGTTTGCTTCTTATAAGGAAGAGCCATTATAAACATACAGCTCATACCTCATAAATCTGACTCATTATTAAATGTAAACACAGCCAGGTAAGATTCATGATTTTTTTTCTTTTGTTATTGCAAACTATACAGAAAAGACATGAGTTATTATGATCTAAAGAAAAACATTGATCTGTAAATAGATTTCCCAGGAAACCCAGACAAGAGGATTGGTTTGACCTTCAATAGACAAAATTCACCCTGCAAATGTTTTTATACTGAAAGCATATGGGCAAGAAACCTGTTTTAAACAAGGCGTTAAAAGTGCTTTTTGTAGGATTTAAAAATTAAGCATGTTTTTTTTAAAGTACCTTTATATAATGATTTTTTTTTTCTTGGCACCAATATTTCGTATAAGATACTAAAAAGCAATATAACCTCTGGCCTATAGTTTGGCAGTAATATGATTCTCACATTTTATATACTTACTTACAAAGCTGACAATACTTACAAAGCTGACATTATAAAAAAAAAATTAAAAAGTAGTGGTTACAATTACAATGGGAAGAATCAGCCATCTTTAACCTAAGTGTAGAATACAGATCACTGTCTTGGCAAATGTCTATAGAGATTCTCAGTCATCCAGGTCATGGTTTTCTCAAAGGTTCTTTTTCAAGAGGTAATTGGACTCTCTTTGTTTTTCTTTGAAGCCATTTCACTTCTCATTCAAGAAGCTTTTTCGAGGTTTTAGTTGTGTCCTCAGGGTCACCTGAATAGTGCAAATGGTTGTAGATCACGCATTATAAACATGGTGCTTTCGGCAGTTCAAAAAATGTTCCAACCCATTTGTACTATTCAAGTGACCTTGAGGGCACAGATGAACCTCTGAGGGGCCTCAAGACTCTCCAAAAGAGAGTAATGACCAGATAACTACAAGGAATGTAAATTATTCCATTCCTCACCATTCAGTCAGAACTGAATCCTGAATTGAAGCTTCTTGGATGAGAAGCGAAACGTCTTCAAGGAACAACAAAGAAAGTCCAGTTGCCTCTTGAAAAAGCACCTTTGGGACTTCCTTGGAAATCTATCATAAATGGAATGGAATGAAAAGAAAAATGAAGCATCAGTATACGCATACATAGTAAGTAGCTTGATTGGCTGCTAATGTCATTGTGAGAAAGTTATACAGATTCGTAGAAATATGGAAATAGACAAAGAAGGACACGGCTCAAACCCTGGCATCTTCCTGACCACTTTTAAGTGCATCAAGTTGGGATATAACATTCATCATCATCATCATCATCTCCCCCTGAACTGGAACCGGAAAAGAGAACCACTGTACATGAACAATGACTAGCAGTGCTTATAGCAATTTTTAGGGTCCTATGAATTCACATATAAAATTCATGAGTTCCGGAAAACACTGAAGCATCACAGCACAAGGGCTGATCATTATGTAAGCAATGCAGCATCACTCTTAAAGAAGACAAGTCAAATTTGCCCTTGTTCTTCCCTAAATAATTCAATGCATCCATTGCATAGCTGAGTCTTCAGGCAGCATGAGGTGAAAAGGAGAAGCAATAAGAACTAAGAGCAATGAGAAAGACATTAAAAAAAGAAAGGGACTAAATGAATTCTAACTGGGAGATCAAGAAAAAGGAAGTGAGAAAAAGCAAAAGTTGTAAGTGAAAAGATGAGAGGAGAGCTGAAAATCAAACTAATAGAAGCTGTACCAGCAAAATAACTAAACAAGAGAAATAAGAGATAAACCCAAACTAAATATGAATAAACCAGAAGTATTAGATACAAGTACAACTAAGCAACAGAGAAAGTATCTGTGACACTCAGCCTTGTACTATCACATGCAATATTTCAATATCTGCAGCCATAGTAACAAGTTACACTAAAAACTCTTTATCAGCAACAATGTCAATTTTTAAATGCTAACTACATACCAACATATGAAATAAAATCACTTACCAACTCTGAGATTCTTGGTTTACTGAAGAAACAGTGTCTACCCCAGCTATAGGTGTTGGAATTCTATCTAAAAGCAAACTAGTCTGTTGAATGATTAAAAAAAAAATGCAGAAATTGGGTCATAAGAATAGAACAATTTTAAGTACTGATAATGAGCAATAAAGCATGGTAAGTTAAAACACTCAGAAATAATTTTTAAAATGGAAATTTTTGTACCCTTTATTCAACTGAATAAGAGTGCCACGGATGCTCAGCAGTTAAGATGCTGGGCTTGTAGGCTGGAATGCTGGCAACCCAGATTAGAGACCCAAGCGCCATGCAATGGGGTGAGCTCCCATCCTCATCCCAGGTCCTGCCAATCTAGCTCTTCAATAGCATTCAAATGTGAGTAGATAAATAGGTACCACTGTGGTGGGAAGGTAACAGTGCTCCATGATGTCATACTGGCCACATAAGTGCAGAAACATATTTGGACAGCACTGGCTCAAAGGTCTTGAAATGGAGATGTGCACTAACTCTGTAGTCAGCAGAGACTAGCAGAATAAAATACACAGGGACTTCTTTACCTTTTTTAAAAAAAAAATCAACTAAATTCTGTATTTGTATTTAGAAAATATTGTTCTGGGTTTGTCTGCTTTTTATGACTACCATAAAATAAATGGGTACTTAACAATTGAACAAAAAGTTGTAACTTTTTAAAATCTTGTCAAAGCCACATTATAACCACAATAGCAAATCCATGCTTTTAAAACTCAATTTATTTGGGAGGAGTTGATGCCTATTATTCACAACTCTCTGTTTAACTAGAAAACATGTCTCTATGGTGATTTGTGACAGTTGCACAATAATATCATTAGGCTAACAATGGACATTGGGTATCTTGTTTTCAAAGCAAGATGTAGCTAGATACTATAAATTGAGGTTTATTATACAAAAATGGCTGCAAACTATATCCATTGCTTTATGCCACAATTATATAAAGTGATTAACAATACATTCCTTCCCTGTTTTAAAGGACAATCATGCCTCAGGCAAAAAGTAATATATATTTTATTCCCTTGATAATGTTTATATTTGGGATGGGGGTGGGATAGAGTTATGAGTCAATCTTGACTCCTGGTAATGCCTGGACAAATTTTCTTGGCAAGATTTTGGAAGTGCTCTGCTTTCTTCCTAGGATTGAGAGAGAGTAACTGACCCTTCACTCAGATGGCTTTGTGCTTAAAGTGGGATTAGAACTCAGGATCTCCTGTTTTCTAGACCAATTCCTTAACTACTACACCAAACTGACTCTAAAGTCTATACTGCAATGTGTTTATGTGAAGAGTGACATTTTGGAATACATGCACCCATGGTAGAACTTCTCTATAAGAACAAGCATAAAGCTACCTTTTTCCAAGCTTCAGCAATAGATTTATGTAACTGATAAGGCAGCAGCACCTCTAGGCCTTCGCAGGTACTATACATTTGGCGGCATACAAAGATAAAAGCTCCTTTGAGGACTGGTAACATCTCAGACCCAGACAAAACAGAAATATCTTCATCAAGAAGCTTCTTTGTAAACTGGGCAATAATATGTGCACCCTTAAGGCTAGAGACAAGACAACAATTTTAAAAAGCAGTGATCAATTAGCTGACATAATATGGATACATGAATTTGATGCAGTGTCTATAGAAAAGACAGAGAGTGCAACCTTCCAGCTTTTTTGTCCCTCCCTAGAGATCCCAAGATCATCAAATCAGCCAAATAAGATTGCATCATTGTTATGATAAACTGATTTACTAAGTGTATTTCCAACTATAGAAAGGTCTTCCACTCCTATTAGAATCTTTTCATAACAAAAAACAAAAACAAAAACATACTTCAACAAAATGAATGAAGGAAATCCCTTATCTCAATCCCCCAAGCTTACAAATCCAAATTACTTAGCTAAACAGTCAATATATTATGATAATCATATTTTTCCCATTATCACATCTGTATATTGCAACCAAAAATTTAGTCTACTTTACCATATACTCTTGCACTTGTTTTTCTGTTTCAAAATTTAGTGGAAGTTTGTACATTTTAGCAATTGCATGTTCATCCTTCACCTGATATAACTCATTCATGGTTGCCTCTGAACACAATTACACATTAATCCATGAAGAAACTTGACAATTGCCTGAAGACTTTTCAAGAGACTCCTAGACAAAGTGCTTTGAAGATGGAATGTGCCCTTGATTCTACCAGTTCATAAATTTCGTAAGATACAAAGAAATCATACCATAATCTCAACCATGGTATTTGCTATAAAGAAAAACAGTTTATTAGTGAGATCGCTAGAGAACTGCTTTCAGTCTTTAAGGATGTTGTCATACCTTGTGCTTTCTGTGGCAGGCGACTTCTCTCCTCCATAAAGAAGTAGTGAAAGACCATCGTCTGCAGCAGCAATTCGCGCCAAAATATCAGCTATATGTGTTAGAGTTGTTTCTGGACAATTCAAATTCACCTGTGTGTATATTTAAAAATGTCTGAAGATAATCCGTAAGCATAGCCAATAGCAAATTAATACAACATAAATTGCTTTCAAGAACTTTTTTTTTACCTTGACTATAAACCAGTTTTGTCAATGAAGCTATAGGTTTCTCCTTTCTTTTTCATTTCCTCAGTGAAATCCTTCTGTTTAGATTAATTTCATCATTTCTGAAAACCCTTTTTTTTTCTTTTATTATTTTTGTATTTTTTATTTATTTTCATTTTATCTTTATTTTTTTATTTTTTTTATTTTTATCTTTTCTTTTTTTTAAAAAAAGTTTTTATTGGTTTTTAAAAACAAATATAAGCAAACAAAACATAAAAACATCAAGCCATCTTCCATATGTATACATACATATCAGTCAGCTCACAGGAAGAAGTTTCTAAAAACTGAATGTACACATCCGCAGAGAAAAGTGAAGACTATTTGGGCTAATTCTCCTCTACCCCCCCCCCCCCCCCAGCCTCAACAGAAGGCTACAGAGTTTTTTTTAGTAGAGTGGTACTGCACATTGCATGGTAAAGATAAATTAAACCAAAACAACTGACAGCTATGCCACTCCACATTGATCTGGGATGCAAACAAGTTCTGGGAATACGTCCTTCTCTTGCCAAACTATTGAGAATTTTGCTTGGCTTCAGTCATCACAAGTGCTCACTTACAAGCAAAAATAACACCATTCCCATTCCCAGATGGCTTGTTAGCACTAATGCGCAATTATAAGCAAGTAACCTGATGCATAAAGACAATTTCACATTGCAATTCTATATTGCATGGTGCAAAAGGCCCATAGAATTCAACAGATCTTATTTTTAAATAGAAATCACAAGATCATACTGTAAAGCTTTGAAACCAGCTTGTTCATCCTTTTCTGGATAAAGATAGCAATTAGATGTGAATTGAACACTTCTAAGTGAAGCTCCCACAAATATCTGAACAAAGATTCATGTTTTTTGTGTTTTCCAAACCAAATAAAATATGTATTCTCTTTCACTTCAATATCTCAGATATAGTCAGTTATATCAGAGCCATGACTTTGACCAGACTCTAGATGGAACACTGCCATTGTGGGGTTTCCTCATTCCCCCCCGCCCCCAAACAGGAAATTGCATAAAAATGAAAGATACCTCTGTTCCTTTTAGTAAGTAATGTAGTGGTTGAAGAAGTTCTTCTATTACTGTATTTGTATATAGACATTCAGTTGCACATTCCTTTCCATCACAAAGGACCCGGAGTATATCAGTAATGAGGCCAGCTGGAGAATAATTACCTGAGAAAATGTAAAAAAACCAAATTGTTTCAAAATAGTGGCAAGGCATACAGCTTTCTAGCTCAACCCCTTTCTAGTCAATGCTCAGTGGAAGATCCAGATATTCTTCACAGTCTTATGGAAGGCTAAGAGGATAGAAATCCCTCAAATCCCATGTGAGAAGCTCTTCCAAAGGGCTACAATGGTAACCAAAGAAGATATACTTCTGAGGTCCCATTGGGTCAGAATTCCCCAACCTTTTAGGCTTCACAGACTGAGGGGTGGAGAGGGATGGTTCCACTTCACTGTGTGGAGTGGTCAAGCACATGCACAAGTGTTTGCCTGCTGTTTGCACGAATGCAAACTGGGTCGCACGCATGCGGCCCAGTTCCGAAAAGCTCAAGGCCAGAGATGGGATCTGACCAGTATAACTACCGGTTCTGTTGCTCTGCGTCGCACGTGCGTCATTCGCACGAGTGCGATTTACGACCTGCTGAGCTGTCTGGACAGCTGAGCAGCGCTGCATGCAAGTGCGCAGCGGTTGAAAAAGCACTTTCCTGCTTTTTCAACCACAGCTGTGTCGCGCAAAGCAGCTGCGGTTGAAAACAGAGGAAATAAAGGTCAGGTAACAGCCTGGGCGGGCAGGTGTGCCAAAACAGAAGCAGACATAGAACCGGTTCTATGTATGCTCTCTGTTTGCTGCTTTTCATAGCAACCAGATCTACAGAAGTGGACAGAACAGGTAGAATCCCACTCCTGCTTAAGGCCCTGTAGTGAACTGTGGCCCAGGGGTTGAGACCCCTGCATTGGGTGAAACATTTAAAGGAAGGGACTACTCTGTCTAACGTAGTAGGATGGGCAGACACCCTCAAGGTGAGGTAGCCCTTCAAATAACCTGCTCCTGTTATTATTTTTCCTTCTCTCAGTTCTCCTCCAAGCCAGATAATAACGGCTACCGCAGCTTCCTAGCACATTGGATATTCATCTGTCTACAGAATAGATTAACCCTCAGCAGACATACTTTTTTCAAAGCAAGTTGTTTATAAAATAACTGCATATAAATGAGAATTATTACCTGAATGCACAGTAAGGGGTTTGGGGCAATTTGGGGAGCAATAAATAAGACGCGTAAACATTATGATGAGGTCTTTCAGTGTCATCAGATCTAGGAAAATCAGAAGGGGGAGAATACTTGAAAATGAAAGCAATGTAAAATGCTTTTAGTAACAATGCGTGGAACAATATTTATTGTACAGATTTAATATAAACAAATGAAGCTGCATTTCCATTTCTTTCGGCTTAATCAACTGAAGCCATTAAATTCACCATAATTATCTAATTTCAAGTATAGTGCTCTTCTAGCAAGGTCAAAATAGTTTGTCAGATTCATTTATTCCTCCAAATAATTTAATCAAGGTTTGCTGCTGTTTTAACAGCCACGGGGCCTGGAGTCCATATAAACAAATCCCATCTTTATTTTCTAGGATCTTTTCCTAGTGTTTTGACACAGGTGCAGGGAAATATTGCACACAGGCAGTCCTCAACTTATAACTATTAATAATTTAGTGACCATTTGAAGTTACAAGGTACTGACAAAAGTGACTTACAACTAGTCCTTACACTTATGACCTTTTCAGTGTCTCCACAGTCACATGATCAAAATTGGGTGCTTGGGAATTGGCATGTATTTATAATGACTGCAGTGTCCTGGAGTCTTGTGATCACCATTTGCAACTTTCCTAGCAAAATCAATGGGGGAAGCCAGCTTTGTTTTTTTGTCATTCACCTAATGACTGTGGTGATTCACTTAATGGCCATAGCAAAATTGGGCATGACTCTCTTAATAACCACTTACTTAGGGATGGAAGTTCTTGTCCCAAATGTGGTTATAAGCTGAAGACTACACATACAACATAAATAAATACATGCATACTACTGTACATAAATGACCACAAGATGAGGTAAGATGAGATGAGATGGGAGGGGAGTTGGGGAAGAGGAGATAAGTTATTTTTTAGTGTAAGCACATTGGGCCACATTAAAAATGAAATTCTGTGCCCGCTCTCAAAAGCAAGTGTATTAAATTATGTCTACCAAATGACCATGAAAAAACCATGAAAAAACTGAAGTTATAATCATAAAAATGTATAAGTGAAAATATAATATAAAGTGACATGGCAAAGAACCCCTGACAGCACTTTGCCGCTTTTCTCATCCTTGGCCAATATCTTATACCACAATTAGTAATTCAATTGTAATTATTTTGTAGTACTCAAAACAAAGAGAGAGAGAGACAGAGAGAAAGAGTGGGAGGGAGGGAGGGAAGGAGGGAGAGAGAGAGACATGGTGGTCCAATCAGGGTCAGTTTGTATAGAATGAGAAAGTTAATCCTCACTGCGTTTCTTTTTGGTCATAAAATCTCCAGCTAAAAACTATGAAGAGGCCAGACAAGATATACACATTTGAACATGGTTGAATTAACACACTAAGACTTGTCACATTTTGATTTAAATATTATGCAAATCAGGGCAACATTTAAAAACTAATTGTAGCTATGTACAAACTAGGAAAATGACTTTCTTGATGACTCAGCCTTATGTGAAACTGACATTGTAAGAATCATTTAGAAAACATTCAATCCAATCAGGGAAAAAGAATATATCTTTGGAAACTATTCCCATTTCCCTAGAAGTAGTCATTAATTTAAATGGGTTTAATCAAGCGACTGATGGAGAATAACAGCCACGCTGTGAAATCCCAGGGATTCTCAAAGGTTAAAATCTCTAATGTGTTTAGGTAGCTATGTTTGAGAAGTTTTACTTAATATAGTCTATGATTTGGTTTATGTTAAACAGTAACTCATTACTTCTGGCTCTTCTCAGCTGGATTCTTTAATAAATGAATTGAGTTGAAAAGTTGAATTGATTACATTGTACAGTATAGCTCGTGGAATGGTCTATTTATATAGCCAACCAGGAATCTCCATTCTTTATAAATTGATGGGCATATTGCCACTTTTGGGAGCATGTTGAGTGCTCCTGAAAATGGCTGCCATTTACAAAATTAAGAATCTATCAGGAGGATATTACCTATCACATTCTCTTATCTACCATACCATAGGCCTTTCCCTGATTATTTCCCTTGCTTTGACCCAAAGAGCATATCTCAAAACAAAGCCCTTGACTTTGTAGCCATCTATTATTTTCATTTGTGCAGAGAAGAGCAACAAAGATGGTTAGGGGGCTAGAAGCTCAAACATATGAAGAATGGTTACAGGAATTGAGTATGTCTTGTCTAGCAAAAAGGACTGGGGAGACATGATAGCACTATTTCAATATTTAAGAAGCTGCCACAAAGATGAGACGGTCAAACTATTTTCCAAAGAACCTGAAGGCAAGACAAGAAACAATGGATGGAAACTAATCAAGAGAAGCAATCTAGAACTAAGGAGAAATTTCATAACAGTGAAATCCGTTAACCAGTGGAATAGCTTGCCTTCAGAAGATGTAGGTGCCCCAACACTGGAAGCTTTTAAAAAGAGACTGGACAGCCATTTGTCTGAAATGATATAGGGTCTCCTGTTCAAATAGGGGATTGGACTAGATCAGCGGTCCCCAACAGGTGGGCCGTGGCCCACTGGTGGGCCATGGAAAATTTTTGGTGGGTCGCAGAAGAAATGGCCCCCAAAAGCAATTAATCTGGGCTGCGCAGTTCTTGCTCCTCCCAGCTCTCTGAGGCTCCTGAGATGCACACGCCAACCAGCTCCTACACCTGGCGCTGGCGGCAACAGCAGTCCCCTCCCCCAGCGCCCGCTGTCAGCTCTTCCCTATTAGTTCTCTAGCTTTGAATTGCTCCTGTGCCTGCGTTTCCGAAGCTTCGATGTTGGGAGAGGCAGCAAGGGCTGGAAAAGGGGAGAGCTGTGCACAGGTCCATCTCCCTTTCTTTTCTTGCCTGCACGTGGGCGGGGGGGGGGGGGGGGGA